GAAGGAGAAGATGAAGCAAAAACTAACCCTAACCCTAACCCTAACCCTAACCCTAACCCTAACCCTAACCCTAACCCTAACCCTAACCCTAACCCTAACCCTAACCCTAACCCTAACCCTAACCCTAACCCTAACCCTAACCCTAACCCTAACCCTAACCCTAACCCGACAGCCATAGTCCTATCCCTAACCCTAGCTCGACAGCCATAGCCCTAACCCTAACCCTAGCTCGACAGCCATAGCCCTAACCCTAACCCTAGCTCGACAGCCATATCCCTAACCCTAACCCTAGCTCGCGTGGTTGCCAACATAAGGCCAGCGACCATGCGACCAAAAACCCTATATGGTCGCCAACATGGTCGCCAACTTGCGACCACGGTCACGACCACTCTGGTCGCGCTATAAACGTAGCCCCCAAGGTAACCCTAGCTCGCCAGCGACGTGGTCGCCAACATACGACCACGGTCACGACCACTTTGGTCGCGTGGTCGCCAACATAAGGCCAGCGACCATGCGACCAAAAACCCTATATGGTCGCCAACATACGACCACGGTCACGACCACTCTGGTCGCCGGTCGTGAACATACGGCCAGCGACCACGCGAAGCTCGAGCTTCGAAGCTCGCGGGGGCCAAGCCAACCCTCCCGCCCTCTAGTCCCGTTTATTACGTAGTCATACTGTGCCAGAGGCTGCGCCTCTGGCACCTTTTGGCCATTCTGAACAGAATGGTGTTTGTTTTCGAGAGCTCATTCCTTCACCGTCACTAAGTAACTTCCGGCTGAACGCGTCGAGTCGCCAACTTGCGACCACGGCCACGACCACTCTGGTCGCGTGGTCGCCAACATGCGACCAGCGACCACGCGACCAAAAACCCTATATGGTCGCCAACATACGGCCAGCTGGTCGCGTGGTCGCCAACTTGCGACCACGGCCACGACCACTCTGGTCGCGTGGTCGCCAACATGCGACCAGCGACCATCGCGCTGTTGCTCGTGCACGGCCATTGGGCTGCGTGCGCGCTTCATGTCCGTGTGTGTGCTCCCGAGGAGTGTGGAGAGGCATTGCCTCTCGTCCGCCGCGCCGCCGCGGGACTCACGTGCGGACCGCCGTGAAGCGAGTTCTTTGACTAATATCACATGTTGGGAGACTGATGGGTACAAAGCATAGATCGTCAATCGACGCGTCGCGCCGTTGCCGATCCGCACACCGAGGCTCTTGGGTGGCGGGCCCCAGCTCTTCACAACGAACCTGGTTCGGACCACAGTTTCCCAGTTCCGAGAAGGCGCGCGTGCCCGTGCCGGCGCAGCTCGGCAGTCTAGAGCCCAAACCCGCACGGCCAACAACCGAGGCGGCGCGCGTCGTCCGTCGCCCATGCAGCCGCCTCCGATCGAGCGGCTGCAGTCGCTCCGCGAGGCAGTCACGCGCGTTTACCGGCCCTCGGACTCGCCGCCACAGCTTGGCGACGACAAGTGCGCGCTCGACCGGGCCTTGGACGGCCTCACGCTGTGTCCGACTCGAGTGGCCGCTCTGGCAGAGGCTCTCCTCCAGGACGGCTGCTCGCTGCGGCTGCTCGCGATGGCGACGGTGCTCCTATCAAACCTCTGCGGCGAGGCGGCCGATGCAAACGAGCTGCTCCGAGCCGCGCCGGCGCTCTTCCAGACAGGCCTCGGCAGCCCAAACCGGGAGGTCCGCGTGCGCGTGTTGGCTCTGCTCACACGGCTTGCGCCTCGCTGGACCGCGGCGTCGGGCGGCGCATCTCCCCCGGACCTTCAGGCGCTGCTCGAGGGAGCGCTGCCGCGGCTGGTCGCGCTGCTGTCCGAGCGCTCAGCGGCCCCGGCAGCCGACGCGGCGGCCGAGGGCTTGCGCGCCCTCTGCCGAGGGAAGGGCCTCGCATTGTGCCGGCGGTGGGGCCTCGCGGCGAGCCTCGACGCGCTGCCGCTCCGGTGCCGCTCCGGTGCCGAGGCGGGCCCGGCGCTTGCCGACCTCTTGCTGCGCCTTGGCCGCGTCGGCGCCGAGGTCTGGCGATGGCGCTCATGTCCAGGACGCGTCCGTGACGCGTCGACAGCGTCCCGTAGGCGCCGCGTCGGAGTTTGGCGAGTCGCTCGCCGCCGCGTTCGGCGTCGGCTCTTGCGGGAGCGTGCACAGCAGTGTCGCACCCGCTCGGAGCGGTGCTCGGTACTCGGACGCCGCGATGGTGTGGGAGGGCGGCGCAGGCGGCGCAGAGACGAGCCTGCACGAGCCTCTGGGCCCTCCCTGAACAACCTCTGATCCCTCCTGTAGGCGGCGCACAGACCAGCTTGTGGCTGAGTCTCGTCCTCCTCGAGCAGCGCGCACCGGGCTGGGCCGCCCTGCTCCGCGAGCGTTGCGCCGCCGCAGCTTCGGCCGTTGGCGCCGTGGAGGACGGGGAGGCAGAGGCAGCAGCGGAGGCGGAGGCAGCAGCGGAGGCGGCGGCGGCGCAGCCTCTCGTGTGGCGCGTCTCGCCGGCGCAAGCGGGCGTGCTCGGCGAGCCCTCCTGCCGATGCCTCTACCGGCTCGCTGCTAGCGGCTCCGCCGCCGTCGCCCCGCCACTCACCTCCCGCGCGCTCGTCGAGGCTGCGCGCGCGCTCGGCTGCGTCCCCCTCCTCCTCGAGCGGCCTCTCGACGCGGCGGGAATGAGGCCGCTCCAGGTCGCACTCGCGCGCGCGGCGGACCCGCCCAGCCTCGGCTGCGAAGACGTCTGCTTCGAGCTGCCGTGCGGCGAGGTGGTGCACGCCCACCGCAGCCTCCTCGCCGCACGGTCCGAGTACTTCGAGCGCATGCTTCGGTGGGACGAGGGAGCATCCGCCGGGGCCGACGGCGCGGGCGCGCTGCCCGACGGCGCGGGCGCGCTGCCCGAGCCACCGCCTCGCCAGCGCGTGCGCGTCTGCAGCGGCTCGAGCCGCTCGTTCCGCCTTCTTCTCCGGCACGTGTACAGCGGACACGCCCTCGCGGGCTCTTGCGCTCCCGAGACGCGGCCGCTCTCCGTCGCGCACGCTCTCGAGCTGTGCGCCTTTGGGCGGCTGTACATGCTGCCTTCGCTGGTGGAGGAGGCGAGGCCCCTCGTCGCCGCTGCCATGTCGGCCGACGAGTTTGTGCCTGCTCTCCTCCTCTGCCAGGAGCAGGGCGCCGAAGACGAGGCGCAGGCCGTCTTTGAGTGGGCGGTGGCGCATTACGACGAGGTTGTGGACGCGCTCGAGCGAGGAGGGGCGCGCTCAGCTTTGATAGACGAGGATGACATCAGGGCATTGCGAGAGCAGCTGAGGGCTGCGATGCTGCAGGCCAGGTATGGGTTGTGAAGAGCGTGCGGTGTGTTGATGTGAGATGTGTTTCCGAGTCTCCCATATCTCGTCAAGGTGTCGATGTACGATGACCCGCTGGGTAAAAAAGTCGAAATAAATAAGGAGCATGCTGCATGGCGCTCTCATGCGTCATGGAGGGCGGTCGCACAGTTGCACCCGCTCGCCAATGCACAGCATGCAGGCCTGCGGCGTGCGGGCTGGGCACTGACGACGGCCAGCGAGCGAATAGACAGTGTACAGTCAGGCCGTCCGTCTCGTCATCACACCCCCACACCACAGACAGCGGGTCGGGGTCCAGGCACTCGACACACGACAGATCCCCAAGCGAGAGTCTGGGAGAGCACCGCAAGCGCACAAGGGGCGCCGCACTGGGCCCCTGGCGCCTCATCACGCAGCCCCCGGCCGGTTTGCGCTCCTGTCGTGGCAATACAGAGCCCGATCAGGCGACGCCGGCTCTCATTCGGCGTGCCGCGCCGTCGTCGTCGCGTTCGCCCGTGCCGCCGGCCGGAGCAAAGAGGAGCTTGATCGCCTCCATGTCCGAGTCGTGGTAGAGGCGGAGGCCGCTGGCGAAAAAGTCGTCGTAGTCGGCGGCCGTTGGCCAGGAGTAGTAGCCCTCCTCGACGGTCGGGCGGTGCTCAAACACGCGCCCGCAGGTGCCAGCCGCGAGTCGGTCGACCTCCTCGAGCATCATGCGCACGCCCTCGCGGCCCATCGCGAGCCGGATGCCGAGCAGAGAGTCGCCGGGCGTCGTCTCCACCTCAGCGGTGTCCACCACCTCGCCCGTGTCGATGCCAGTGTCAGAGATGCGGTGCAGCGTCATCGTCTGCCGCACGTCGCCCTGCAGCATCGCTCTCAGGTCGACGTACAAGCCTCTGTACTTTGGCAGAGCGCCGGGGTGCATGTTGAGCACTCCCAACGGCGCGACCGCGATGAGGTCCTCCTTGAGGATGTGCTGGAAGCGAGCCGAAAAGATCAGGTCGGGTGCGAGCGCCCTGACCTCCGCCAGGTGGTAGTTGATGGACTTATTTTTCACGGCTGTGATTACGCCAACGTCGTCGGATGCCCTCAACTCCTCCCAGGTCCGGTATGCTCCCGGCCCGCGATTCGCCGCAGGGGTGCGCTCCAGAAACGGAAAGATGCTCTTGGTCCACACGCTGGTCTCGTGCGGCCCGACCATCTCAGCGCACCGCTGCGCACCCTCCGAGCGAGGCTCATCGTTGGAGAGAAAGACTGAGAGGCGGTGTCCCCTTGCTGTGAGCTGTTTGAGAGCGACGTTGACCGCGATGCAGCCCTTGATGTCCGGCGTGGTGCAGATGAGGACGTGCATCGCAGATCTCGCGCGCCGCGCAAGCGCCAGCCTCTCCCTCGCCTTGACGCGCGTCCTCGCCGCAACGACCTTGGCCACGCGGCGGGCGGGCACCGAGGATGGAAGTGTTGTAAAACGCGGCGTCGTGGGGGGCCATTTTGACGACACCGCCGAGGGCACGTAGCATCGATACTCGATTTGCCGGCTAATAGATAAAGTCGCCGCCGCGTCCGTGCTCAGACACAGACAGACGACGGCCCCTGGCCCTGCACACGAGGCTGCGGCCTGCTATCTGTGCCCTGCTCTCTCACCCTCACAATCCAAAGAGAGAAAAACCCAAACCTGAGAGAGAACAACCACAGAACCAGCCAAATCATCACTTGTTGGCTGCCCTGCGGCTACTTAATGCCATGAAGATGGTCTCGATGGCGTCGGGTTCCTGCTGCAGCGTCGCCGGCAGACGCTCCAGCTCCGCCGGACGCGGCAGCACGCGGCCATCCGAGTGGCGTCTGGGGAGGTAGGCGTGCGAATCGAGCATCGCGCCGACGTAGGTGAAACGCGTCCAGACCTTTGCCATCTCGCGCCGCATCGCCTCGCGGCGAGAGGCCGGCACGGCGCGCAGCAGCGCGTCGAGGCGCTCGACGTCCTTCTCGGCCACGCGCAGCGTGAAGCGGTCGTACTGCAGCAGCGACTCGAACGGCATGTGCACATTGTCCATGATGATGACGGCGATGCAGCCGTGCCGCACCGCGTCGTCCACTCGCGAGGACCAGCCGTCGCCGCCGGGCGGGACGATGCAAAATTCGGACGTCGAGAGGTCTCGGCCGTAGTCGCCGCCGCGGTTGCCAACCAGCCTCCAGCCGTCCTTGCCGCGAAAGGCGGCGACCAAGCGGTGGCGGATGCCGCGCGAGTACTTTGCAGGCTCGTTGCCAGCCAGGTTGCCCGAGAAATACGCCAGCGTCTTGCGCGGCGGCGACGGCGAGCCGGGCGGGCGCAGGAAGGGCGAGGAGGTCAGCGCCGAGGGCGGCTTGAAGACGGGCACCACGATGTCCTTGGCCGGGTCGTAGCACGGGTGGTGCCCAATCATGCGCCGCGAGCCGCCTTCGAAGCTGCGGCGGCGAGGCGAGCGCGTGTGAGGCAAGCGCCGGGGAGTGCCGCTCGAGAGAGACGGCCGCAGCGAGCGGCTGGGAGAGTGCCGCCGCACCTCCAGACGGCTCCGTCGGGAGCTCGGATCGAGCTCTTCCAGTCCGACTCCCAATTGTCGGCCATGTAGCGCGAGGAGGAGTGCGGCTGCGCGTCCATGCGGCCCCAGTGGGAGAGGATGATCGCGTTCGCGGCGACGCCGCGCGGGGCCCAGCAGCCGCCCTCGTCGTGGGAGAGCAGGACGATGTGGTCGCGGCCGGCCGACCTGTCCCAGTGAGGCCTGCAGCGGCGAGGAGGCAACCGCGGGGTGAGGGGCGAGAAGAGGGGGCGGGGAGGGAGGGAGGGAAGGGGGGGGGGTACGTGCCCGAGGGCGCGCACGCGGTCGACGGCGTCCGACAGCATGCGCATCGCGGTCACGGGCCGCATCGGGAAACCTGAGAGGAGGGTGCAGCGTGACTTGCGCAGCTGGCCGCATCTCGGCCGCATCTCGGCCGCATCTCGGCCGCCTCTCTGGTAGTCGGCCGGGCCGGTGTAGTCGTACACGGGCAGGATGGCGCAGGAGAGGTAGGTTGGGATGTAGAAGAAATCGGCGTCGTCAGGGCTGGCCACACGGTGCGGCGAGCGCAGCAGCGCCTCAAGCGGGACGGGAAGGAGGGCGTGGATCGGGGAGCGAGAGTGCGGGAGTGGCGCGAGGGTGGTGGCAAGCGGCGGGCGGCGGCAGGCGGGCGGACAAGGCAGGGAGCACCTCATGCAGCGCCACGTCGACGGTGTAGGCGTAGCCGCCGTTCCAGTCGGTGGTGTTGGAGAAAGTGAATGCGCGCGGCGTGCACACGTTGCGACCGGCGCGGTACTGCAGGATGAGAGAAGTGTGCTCGGGCAAATCGTACACAAACAGCCGCGGCGACGGCCCGCCCCCTCTGGCGCGCCGCGCGGCGTGGTTTGGATGGAGGACCACTCCGCCCCGCTCGACGGTGAGCGAACAGTCGACGCCAAAGAAGCCTACGCCGCGATCGCGATCACCGGTGAGAGCGCCGCGCCGCGCGCCCGGAGCCCACCGCCTCCGCAGCCACCTTCGTCGCAGCGGCAGAAGCCGCCCGTCCGGCTGCAGATGCCGCGGCCCGAGCACTGGTTGAGGCAAAACGCCTACGGGGCGTGTCCTGGACGTGTCCTGGACATGTCCTCGACGTGCCCTGGCGGACGGTGAGCACTGGCTGAGGCAAACGCCTCGTGGGGCTGGTCGCACAGCGGCCCGCCGAGCCCGTCGTACGAGCACCAGCACTGGGCCGCCGGCGTCTCGCCGCGCTCCGCCTCGCACCACGCCTACCCTCGGCTCATCCCGGCTCATCTCGGCTCGGTCTCGCGGCGCGCTCCGCCTCGCGGCGCTGCCTTCTCGCCGCGCGCCGCCGCGGCTCTGCCCGCCGCCGGGATGACGCGCCCGGCCTCCCACGTGCGCCGTGCGGCCCCCTTGCGGAAGAGCGCGCCGGCGCGGGCGGCGCGCACGGCGCCGACGTCTCCTGCAGCGCGCCTTAGCTCCGCCATCGCCTCTCTCTCCAGCCTGTCCGCCTCCCGCCTCCCGCCCGCCCGCCTCCCGCCCGCCCGCCTCCCGCCCTCCCGCCGCTGCCGCCCTCCCCACGGCCCGCTGTGCGGCACCTCCCCGTACCTCGCCGCCCCAACCTCGACCCGCGGCGCCTCCGCCGCGCCCGCGAACCAGAAGCGCCGCAGCGCCGCCGCCCGCAGCTCCGGCCGCGCGGCGTAGAGGGCTCGCAGCGCGTCGTAGGCGCCCCGCCGCTTCTTCTGCTCGCGCTGGCCGGCCGGGTTGTCGCGCGGGTGCGGCTTGACGATGGCGGCGAGCGCCTCGGAGCCGTTTGGCCACAGGGCGGGCTCCTCGAGGTGCGCCTAGGAAGGGTCCGGGAAGGGTCCGGGAAGGGTCCGGGAAGGTGGAGCGGGCTGGTCGGGGTGCGCCGGAAGCTGCAGCGCCGCGAAGGCGCCGAGGGGCATGTGCCTCGGCTGGCACGACTCGCCCATCGGCCGCTCCCGCAGCTTGCCCGGGCACCAGCAGAAGCCGGTCGCCTCGTCGCACTCGCCGGCGCAGTGCGACGCCATCCAGAGGCCGTCGTTGGGTCCGTTGCAGGGCCGCGGGTTGCGCGACTCGCACGCAGACCTACGGGGAGGGCTCCGAGGAGGCTGGAAGGAACTCCCCCGCTCGCCTGTCGAGCGGCTCGCTCGCCCCAACCCGTTCGAGCCGGCCTCGCACGCGCACGCGCCGGACTGCAAGTTGCAGACGCCACGCCCGTGGCAGCTCGGGTGGCGGCAGCGCCGGACGGGAGCGCGTCGGAGCTCGCGGAGCCTGTCGCGCGGCGCGTCTGCGCCCGCGGCGCCACGCCGCGCCAGGAAGGCCTCGCAAGCCCGCGCGTCGATCACCAAGGCGCAGCGAGGGGAGGGAGGCGGCAGGCGGCGGCGCGGCAGCGGCGTCGGCACCGGCGGTGGCGGCGGCGGCGGCGGCGGCGGCGGCGGCGGCGAGGCAGACCGTGGTGGCGGAGGCGGAGGCGGAGGCCACGCTGATGGCGGTGGGGGCGGAGGCGACGGTCGCGACAGCGGCAGCGGCTTTGGTGGCGGCGAGGCCGCAGCACGGGACACGTGCTGCCGCTCCAGTCGAGAGGAGGCGCGATCGGGCCGTGCGGAGCGAGCCGCCTGCGGCGCCGCAGGCGGCTCGCTCTTCGACAGCCAGACGATGCTCGCCGCAAATGCCGCGAGGAGCAGCGAGAGGAAGACGGCGAGCTGGAAGCAGCGGCCAAACCTGCTGCTGTCGCCATGGCTGCGGGAGCGCCGCACCTCAGGCGAGAGCAGCGACTCGGACTCCTCTAATACGTCGTCGGGCAGCGTGGACATCTGGGCGCGGCCGACTAAGGTATGTCGTTGATCCGAGGCAGACAGGGGGAGGCGGCGCTGGTCGGAAGCGACAGCGGTGGCGGCAGCCAAGTCCGCGGCCGTTGTTTTCTTTTCGCTTTCATGTTGTAAAGCTCTCGCACCGGCAGGATTCCTTGGGGAGGGACGGTGGGCGGCCTGGTCGCCGACTCCGTGAACTCTGAGGAGCTCAGAGCAGACTCACACTTTCAGAGTTCGGAGCTCCGGAGCTCCGCGCTGCTGGTTCTCACAAACGCTGTTGCGAGAGGGACAACAAATTCTTTTTTGGAGCGGGCCAGGCGCGACCTTGTCCCGCGGCGGCCCACCTCCCTCGTGCCCATCCCACCTCGACATTGCTTCCAGTGGTCTGAAGCGGCCCGCCATGGCGCAGCCATCCGGCTCTGGCCTTGACGGGCAGGACGACCCAGCCGCGTGGATCCGCGGCCTCGGTATCGAGGCGCTCCTCCTCGAGGCGCTGACCTCGCACGATCGGGAGTGCGGGCTGGCGGGCATCGCAAAGGCCGGCCCGTCGGCGGCCCGCGAGGCAGTCGCCGCCCTCGGCATAGCGGACCTGATCGCCAAGGCCGTCGACGCTCTTCCTCCTGCGCCGCTCGCCGAGACCGTTTCCTCGCCGCCTCCGCTCTTCCCGACTCTGTCCTGCTCCTTCTCGGACGTCGCAAGCGAGCAGGCGACGGCCGGCGGCGGGCCCTTTCGCGACGTGACTCGCGGCGTGGCGGCCCGGACACCGCTCACAATCAACGCCCGCTCTGCCGAGTCGTTTGAGACGGAGCTCTTCGTGGGCCGCTGCCTGCTGCTGCTGCGGCCGGCGCGGCGCGAGGAGGACGTCTTCTACTCGGAGCGGCTGTTTGACGGGCGCAGCCGCGGGCTTGAGATGCAGGTGCAGGGCCGCTTCAAGCGCCGCCCGAGCGGCACCGTCTACCTCGGCGGCGAGGTGACCGAGCGGATGCAGCTCGGCCTCGTGACGCGCGGCCCTCTCTGCAAGCGCTCCCCGCCCGCGGGGCCTCCCCTGCACCTTGTCGAGTGTGCTCGGTGGATAGGCGCGGCCTCTCCAAGCTCATCCTGCAGCTGCTCGTCAAGTTCAACCCGCCCGGGATGCACTACTCCTTCGGCGACCGCGAGGGCCGCATGCTGCCGCACATCGTCCTCCCGCTCTGGCGCGCCGTCGACCGGCTCGTCGCCTCGCCGCCCGGCACGGCGCCGCCCGAGCTCGGCAGCACCGCTCACCGCTCAGCCGGAGGCGTCCCGTGGGCGGAGCACTGCCGGCACCCTCCTCGGATGCCTTCCTGTAGGCGTCCCGCTGGACGAGTCGGAGGCGGCGCGAAGCGCGCGCAAGGGCGGCGCGTCGCTCGGCGAGTGGGACCCGTCCTTCACCTACTCCTTCTCCTTCAACACGGGCTACATCGACCTGCCGCACTGGAAGCTGCACCGGCTGCCGATGCGCGACGTCTACCTCTCCTCCTTCTGGAGCGACTCGGACCTGCGGCTGGTCGTGTACGAGGACGCGCCGGGCGGCGGCCACGCGTGGCGCGCAAACAGGTACGCGCTCTGCGTCCGGATCACGCACTCGCCCGCGGGCGGCGGCGGCAGCAGGCGGCAGTCGTCCTCCCGGCGGCTGGCGGCCGCGGCCGCGGCGAGGGCGTCGGAGAACGACGTTGGCGACGAGGCGGACGGCGAGGGAGGCGAGGGGAACTCCGCCGCCCTCGCCGCGTCCTCCGCTGCTCTCGCCGCGGCCGGCGCGGCGACGCTCGGTGTGACGCTGCCGCACGCCGAGCCAGCCTCGTCGGCGGCCGACTCGGCGGCCGACTCGCCGCTGCCGGTCACTCCCGACGCGGTTTCGGACGAGGACTCGTCGGAGGAGGGCGAGCCGCCCGCCGACCCGCTGGCTGAAGATGTCACAGGAGAGCCTTCCTCCGAAGCCGCGGCGGCGGCAGCGCAAGGCGACATCGGGGCGGCGGGCGGCGTGGCCCCCTCGGCGGCGCTCGCCGCCCTCGCCTCCGCCTCCATCCCGGCGCGCCTCGTCTCGCGAGACGGGCGCGGCCGGCCGAAGAAGAGCTACCTCGTCGTCGCCGCGGGCAAGACGCACGTCCGCAGCTCCGGCGCCATCAAGGCGGCGGTGCGCGCAGGCCGGCGGGGCCGTCCCGCGCCAGCCTTGGGGCGGGACGGCGACGACTCGGACGAGGGCGGCGGCGCGGGCGACGGCGAGGGGAGCGGCCCCTCGGCGCGCCTCAGCACCGCGGAGCGGAAGCGCCGCGCCGCAGAGCGCCGCGTGCGGAGCACCTTTGCCGCGCCGCCGCCGCCGTCGACGCGAGCGGGCGCCGCACTCGCCGCGTCTGCCGCCGCGCTGCTGCGGCGCAGCGAAGGGGACGCGGCGTTCCTGGCGCCCGGCCGCGGCGGCCGAAAGGCGGCGGCGGCGGCGGCGGACGGCGCGGTTTGCATAAGTGGCAGCGTCGCTTTTGGGGAATGCGAGGGCTGCTTTGTCGAGATGGGCGCCGTGCTCACAACTCGCGCGCTGTACTTGTCCGAGGCGAACGTGGGCAGCGGCGGTGCAAGTCTCGTGCTGGCGCTCCCCGCCCTTCTCTGCGCCAGCCGGATGGACCCTTCCCTCTCCCCCTTCCCCGACCGGCCTCTTCTCCTCGTCGCCACCGTCGCCCGCCAGTACTGCCTCCTTCTCCACTCCTCGCTCGTCGCCGACCAGTGGCTCGCCGCCCTCCGCAACCTGCGGGTGCCCGTCGATGATGGCGACGGCGGCGACGGCGCCACGGCCGCGCCCGCCGCTGGCAGCGGCCCCGCCGCCGGTGGCGCTCCCGCGGCGGCCGCGGCGAGCGACGAGCCCTCGCTCTCTCTGCAGCAGTTTGGCTTCCGGCCGAGCATCTTCACGCGCAAGGGCGGCCGGCTGGTGCTCAACGGCCGGCGGCTCCTCTTCCAGCCGGAGCTCGCCGCCGCCTCGCGCCTCGACGCGTGCGAGTGCGCCGCGCGCGCGCTGCGGCTCGCGCTGGCGCTCGACGAGGCGGAGCCTCTCTCGTCGCCGAGGCTGGTTGCCTTTCTGGACGCCGCCTCCTCGCTCAAGGCTGTGCGGCTCGACGGGCTCGACGAGGAGCAGAAGCTCGCCTTCTTCCTCAACGTCTACCACACCATGATCCAGCACGCGTACTCGCTGCTCGGCCCGCCCTCCTCGCTGCTCAAGGCGATCTCCTTCTTCAACACCATCGCCTACCAGGTCGGCGGCGACGTCTTCACCCTCGCGGAGCTCGAGCACAACGTGCTGCGCGCGCCCTCGTGCCGCCCAAAGTCCTTCTTCTCCAAGTGGGTCCTCCCAAAGTCGAGCTACAGCTTCGCCCTCACCACCGCCGACTACCGCCTCAACTTTGCCCTCTCCTGCGGCTCCGCCTCGGGGCTCGCCACGGTGCCCGTCTACCAGCCCGCACTCCTCGGCGCGCAGCTCGACGCCGTCGCGAGCGCCTTCCTCGCTCGCACCGTCGCCGTCTCCTGCCGCAGCGGCGGCGGTGGCGGCGGCGGCGATGCGGCAGTGGCGCTCACACTGCCCAAGTTGTTCCAGTGGTACGCCAGGGACTTTGGGAGCGGAAAGCACGCGATGGAGGGCGCGGCGGTTGCGATGGAGTTCTTGCGCGGCCCCGAGCGCGAGCTGCTGCGCTCGCGGCTTGCTCAGGAGCAAAAGCCTGACCTCGAGATTCGGTACGCGCCCTTCTCCTTTGCTTGCTCGCGCCTGATCGAGCTCGAGGTCGGTCGTGAGAGCTCTGGTCGGCGGATCAGCGGCGGCGGCCCGGGCGGGTGAGCCATCGGAGCGGGGGCAGTGACCGTTCATCAAAGACGCCGCGACAATATGTCCAATACCGCGGTCCGATGTTGTTCCTGGTCATTCCCTCTCCAGACCGCCCATAAATCTCTGTCCACCTGTCGATATGCATTTACGCGAACGATTCTCTACTATTATAACAGTCAATACAGTGGACAAAGGATACTCGCCGTGACGGCGCACGTTTGGCCCAGGTATCCCGAAATCCCGATGTGCGATGACCGATGTTGTCGCTCAACCGCCCCACGCCACGCCGCTTGCGGCGGTCCTATTCCCAGCTCGCGAGGGAGTTTTGTTGTAAAATTCTAAAATTCTCTTACTGCCAGTGCGCGCCAGTCCCGTGCCGAGTGTGTGCGCGAGCGGTTGCCTTGCCGCAATATCCGGAAAATTTCTGAAAGCGAGAGTTTGCCGGGAAAATTCTTTTGCAAAGCCGCCACTTCTCAGACTTCCGACCAAGCCCGACCCCCAGTCGACTGTGGGTGCAATCGTCTTCCCGACCAGCCCGACCAGTCGACTGTGGGTGCAATCGTCACTCCTGTCGCCGCGCCGCTGTCCAGCGCATAGCTGCCTCACCGCGCCGCTGTCCAGGCGGCGACGGAGACGAGAGGCGACGGACTGAAGCGCCCGAGAAGCGCACGCCAAGCCCTGACGTCGGTCGCGGTGGCAACCCGAGAGCATGGACGACGATGCGCTGCTCGAGGCCGCCCTGCTCGAGTCTGCAGCACTCCACCGCGAGGAGGCGATGCTGGCCGCTGCGATCGCCGAGTCGCAAGAGCTGCCGTCCGTCCCAGCGACACCGCCCACCACGCTCAGCCCACCATCCGTTCGCCGCAACACGAGGAACGCGCCAGCAGCAGTGCTCGACTCGTCCGCCGGTCGCACCATCCGCCCGGCCGCCTCGAACCCGGCCAGGCAGCGCCGCCTGCAGCAGCGGGAGCAGCAGCGGGAGCAGCAGTGTCGGCTCGCTCCCACGGCGGCGCCTCCCGAGTCGTCGGGCGCACCTCCAAAGCCGCCCGAGCGCGCGCCGCGCCCGAGGCTCACGGCTCCTCTCCACGGCCAGGAGCACCCATCCTGGAGGCTGCCCGAGCTGCTGCCGCCGGTGGCGAGGGCCACGCCTCCGCCCTCCGCTGCGCCGCCAGTCATCGTGTGGCTCCGGGCGGGCGACATGCGGCTGACCGACAACCCCGCCCTGCACGCGGCGGCGGAAAGCGGCAACCCGGTGATCCCTGTCTTCATCCAGCCGCCCCGGTGCGAGGAGGGCGGCTGGCCGCTGGCCGGTGCCGCCGCCTACTGGCTGCACCACTCCCTCGTCGCGCTGCAGCACTCGCTCTCCCGCCTCGGCTCCGCCGTCGTTGTCCGCCGCGCCGCCGACTGCGGCGGCTCCTCCGCCGCCGCGCTCGCCGCCCTCGCGGCAGAGAGCGGGTCGCGGCGCGTGTACTACAACGCCTCCTTCGAGCCGTGGCTGGTCCGCCGCGACGAGGCGCTCGAGCAGGAGCTGGCGAGCCAGGGCGTGCGCGCCAAGCGGTGCGCCGGCAACGTGCTCTACCACCCCGAGGACGCGCGGCCGGACGAGCGCACCGCGGCGCACGGCTTCGGCTCGGTCGGCTTCTTCCTCGCCGCGGTGGCGACCCTGCCGCCGCCGCCGCCGCCCCTGCCGCCGCCCCGTCGCCTCAAGCCGCCCGCGGCCTGGCCGCACAGCCTCCCGCTCTCGGAGCTGGGCTACGGGCGGCTGCCGGTGCGACCGGACGGGACGGTCGAGGACTGGGCGGCGGGCATCCGCAGGTCGTGGGCGGTCGGCGAGATCGGCGCGCAGCGGGCGCTCGAGGCGTTTGTGAGCGGCGGCATCCAGCGCTTCGAGGGCCGCGAGCGGTTCCGCGCCGACCAGGCAAACACAGCCGCAATCTCGCCGCATCTGCGCTTCGGAGAGCTCTCCGCTCGGGCGGTGCTGCACTCGGTGCGCGAGCGAGCGAGCGCGCCCACCTTTCTCCGCCGGCTCGCCTGGCGCGACCTGGCGTACTGGGCGCTCTGGCGCTTCCCCCACCTGCCCAGCCGCCCCTTCCGGCCGTGGTTCGAGGCGCAGGCGTGGAGCTCCGACCAGCCGGCGCTCGAGGCGTGGCAGGCGGGCGCCACGGGCTTCCCGCTGGTGGACGCCGCGATGGCGCAGCTGTGGGCGACGGGCTGGATGCCAAACTACATGCGCCACGTCGTCGCCGGCTTCCTGGTCGAGTTCCTCAACCTCGACTGGAGGCGCGTCCTCCCTTGCCCTCCCTTGCCCCACCGCCGTGTGTGTGTGTGGAGAAGTTCAGCTTGCCTGTACCCAGGCACGGCCTCCGCTGGTTCGACTACACGCTCGTCGACGCAGACACGGCCATCAACGCCTACATGTGGCAGAACGGGGGCCACTCGGGCATGGACCAGTGGAACTTTGTCATGCACCCCGTCTTTGCGGCAAAGTCGTGCGACCCGGAGGGCGACTACGTGCGCCGGTGGCTGCCGCAGCTGGCCGCGCTGCCGGTCGAGTACATCCACTGCCCGTGGGAGGCGCCGTTCGCCCTGCGCGCGGCTGCCGGCGTCGTGCTCGGCGGCAACTACCCGAAGCGGATTCTCGACGACCTGGAGGCGGCGCGGCGCGCCTCGCACGCGGCGGTGATGGCGGTGCGGCGAGGGCCGGCGAGGGGCCAGGTGCTCCCGAGCGGGCACGAGTGGCTGGCCCTCGACAACGGCGTGCGCGCCACGCTCATCACCCGCGAAGACTACCGCGAGGGCACCCTCTCGCGCGACGGCGAGCTCATCACCGGCGACAAGATCCGGACGCGGCAGTCGGCGGACGACAAATGGGACGCGCGGCGCCGCGAGCGCACCGACTTCTTGTCGCGGGCGCTGGGCGACGCGGCGCGCGAGCACCAGGCGGCGGCGAGGCGAGGCGGCGGCGGCGGTGGCGACGGCGTCTCGGACGCCCGCGGCCGTGGGAAGGGGCGCGGGAGGGGCCGCGCCGGCGGCCGCGGCGGCCGTTCGAACACCGCGGCCGTCATCCCGAGGCCCGCAGCTTGGGGGTAGGTAGGACACTGAGCACCGTACGGAATGTGTGTGTGACTGGGGCCCCCCCCCTTTTTTTTCCGTTTTTTTTTTTTCCCCCTTCTTCTCCAAAGGGGTTTGGGTTTTTTTTGGGCCCCCCCCCCCCCCCCCCCCCCCCCCGACTCACCCACACCACCACCACAAAGAAAAGCGCATCGATGTCGCTCCTCACGACTCGTGAACATGGTCAGCAGTCCACCTGTGACACCGGGGTGTATATGTACGTGCATGTAGGTTTGTGTGTAGGTATATGTACGTGCGTGTATATGTGCGGACGTGAGCCACACCCCTTGCCACAAAACTCGTAAAAAAGCGCGCGAGGAGCGGTGCCGGTGGGCGGGACGGCGGACGATCTGCGACGATGTGTTGTGTGTGTTGTGTGTGTTGCGTGTGTGTGTGTGTTGCGTGTGCGTGTGTGTGTGTGTGTGTGTGCGTGTGCGTGTGTGTGTGTGTGTGTGTGTGTGTGTGTGTGTGTGTGTGTGTGTGTGTGTGTGTGAGTGTGATGAGGAGGGGGGGAGGGTCGGTCAGCTGCGCAGAGTATGTGGGCCCGGCCTGATGCGCAGAGAGCGGAAACTCCCGGGACGGGGCAGTTCCGCTCCAAGGTTGAGACGTAAAGCAGGGCGAACATCTGTCTTCACGGCGAACGCGGATCCTCGCACCGTCCTTCGGCCTTCGCCGACTCGCACATTCCTTTTATGCTCGGCCGCTCCCTCGCCCGCGCCGTGCGCCCGCGCCTGTCCCGAGGCCTCGCCACCGGTGAGACCTACGACATGGTCGTCATCGGCGGCGGCCCGGGCGGCTACCCGACCGCCATCAAGGCGGGCCAACTTGGCATGAAAGTCGCCTGCATAGAGATGCGAGGACGGCTGGGCGGCACGTGCCTCAATGTGGGGTGCATCCCGTCCAAGGCGCTGCTGCACTCCTCGCACCTGTATGAGGAGGCAGCGAAAGGGTGGGGTCCGCACGGCATCTCCGCCGACAACGTCAAGATGGACCTTGACAAGCTGATGAAGCACAAAGCGAAGACGGCGCCGCGCCTCTCCCTCCCCGCCATCCCCCGTCGGACCCACGCACACACATGCCCGCCCCCCTCCCCGCGAAGAGACTGAGGCGCCGCGGCTCCTCTCTCGGCGCCCCCTCCAAGCCCTCCTACCTCCCCCTCTCACTGCCCCTCACGCGCCCACGCCGTGCGCCGCCGGCCGCTCACTCCCTGCCTGCGGCCTGCGCGCTCAGGTGACGGGTCTGACTGGCGGCATTGAGGGTGCCGCCGCGCGGAACGTCGTCGGCCTCGGTCGGGAAGCGGCTCGAGCGCGCGCCACCCTCCCCGTAGGTCTCTTCAAGAAGTACAAGGTCGACTACTTCAAGGGGAAGGGAGAGATCACCGCGCCGGGCTCGGTCGCCATGTGCGCGGCTCACGTGCCAATGCCTCACTCCCTCCGCCTCACTCCCTCCGCCGACCGCCCCCTCGCTGCGCCCCCGCCGCACACAGCAGCAGCCTCCTCTCTCGCCGCGCCTGCCCTGCTGCCCTCTCGCCACCCGCACCGCCTCGCCGCCGCTGATCACCGCTGCTGCCGATCGCCGCCGCTGATCGCCGCCGCTGCTCACCGCCGCGCCTCCCGCAGGCACCCGATGGAGGGCGGCCCCGCGCAGACGCTGTCCACGAAGAACATCGTCATCGCGACGGTGCCCGCCGCCAGTCCACTGCGTCCGCCTCCGCCGCGCTGCCCCCGCCCCGCCCCGCCCCTCGACCTCGCCCACCGCCCGCCGCCCCGCGACACAACGCCGCCCCGCACCAGGGCTCCGTGCCGGCCGGTGTGCCTGGGGCGACGGTGACGGTGGACAACGACGCCAAGGTGATCGTCGACTCGACAGGCTGCCTCGACCTTGAGAAGATCCCGGAGAAGCTCATTGTCATCGGCGCCGGCGTCATCGGTGCCGCCGCCGCCTCGCACAAGCAGAGAGCGGCGCTCCCCCGTCACGCCTTGACTCCGGCACCTCCGCAGGCCTCGAGATGGGCTCCGTGTGGCGGCGGCTCGGCACCGAGGCGCCGCTCGCCGCCTCCGACCCCCCCCCCCCCTCCCCCCCGCCCGCCCGCCCACGCCCCTTCCGCGCGCGAGGGCAGGTGACCGTCGTCGAGTACCTCGACCGCATCACGCCCGGCATCGACGACGAGATCGCAAAGAAGTTCAAGCAGATCCTCGAGAAGCAGGCGTGGGCAGGGCCTGGGGGGAGGCCGGCCCCTCGGGCTAGCGCGGCGAGCGGAGCCGCCACCCCGCGCCGCAGGGCATGAAGTTCAAGATGGGCTACGCCGTCAAGTCGGCCACCAACGAGGGCGGCAAGGTGACTGCGCACGCAGAGAGGGGAGGAGGCGGCAGTAGCGCCGCCTGACCTGGGAGCGGCTCCCTCCGTAGGGCAAGCTGGTGATGGACCCGGTCGGCGGCGGAGCGACTGAGACGCTCGAGGCGGACGCCACCCTCCTCTCTCCCCGCCGCCCTCCTCTCTCCCCGCCGTCCTCCTCTCTCCCACCCGTCACGCCCCGCCGCAGGCTGACGTGATCCTCTCCGCGACCGGCCGCGTGCCGTACACGGAGGGGCTCGGCGCCGAGAACGTTGGCGTCAAGCTGGGGGCTCGCGGCGCGGAGATTCGACTCGTCCCGCGGGGCGCCCTCGAACGCGCCTCACCACCCCGCTGCCTGGCGCAGGCATGGTCGAGATCGACGACCACTTCGCCACCAACGTGCCGGGCATCTACGCGATCGGCGACGCCGTGCGCGGCGCCATGCTTGCGCACAAGGCCGAGGAGGAGGGCATCGCCATCGCGGAGCAGCTGGCGGGTGCTTGCGCCGTCCTCGCCGCGGCAACCTTGCCCACCCCCCACCCTCGTGCCCGTCCTGACGGCCGCCCGCTCTCCTCGTCGCAGGCCTGGGCGGGCACGTCAACTACGACGCGATCCCGGGCGTCATCTACACGCACCCGGAGGTTGCGTCTGTGGGCAAGACGGAGGAGCAGCTCAAGGGGGAGGGGGTCGCCTACAAAGTGGGCACGTTCCCCTTCATGGCCAACTCGCGCGCGCGCGCCATGGCGGACGCCGACGGTCTCGTCAAGTTCCTGATCCAAGATGGCGGCGCTCACGACGGTATGGTGCTCGGCATCCACATCATCGCCTCCAACGCGGGCGAGATGATCGCCGAGGGCGTGCTCGCGATGGAGTACGGCGCCTCCGCCGAGGACATCGGCCGCACTTGCCACGCTCACCCGACCATGTCCGAGGCGTTCAAGGAGGCCGCCATGTCGGCCTACGGCAAGCCCATCCACTTCTAAGCTGCTCCGTCTACACACTACCACAGCGTTCGAGCCAACACCGCGCACAGCCGGGCTGGCTGTGCGCGCGCCGAGGGAGGGAAAGAGAGGGGAGGTGGTGCGGGGAAGAGAGCCTCTATGCGCGATGCGATGTTGAGATGCACCATCCTTCTGCTTTCACCCGTGTGCGGGGCGCGCGCAGCGCAACCGCCCCCGCTCGCCCCCGCCCCCAGGGCCCCGGCCCCGCTGCTCGCACCCCCCTCTCTCGACACTATAGTCGTCTATATACTTGATTGCGGGTCGAGGTGCTCAAGCTCACACTGTGCTCAAGCCTCAAGAAAGCGCAAAGAGCACAAAGCTCAAAACAGTCACACACACAAAATTCAAAAACACCGTGTCTGGCGCGTGGCGCGTGGCGGTGTGTGCGGTGTCGTGCGTATTTCCGCGGCACGCGATTTTGCTCCCGCGCGCGGTTGAACGAATTCTCGCATAAACACAACAGTACGAGACGAGAACGACATTCGCGACGAGCGCGCAGCCCGCGGGCGGGAGACGGGGAGAGCATATCTCAAGAGCTCTCAAAGACATGTAGGTGGCCGCGCGCAAGCGTGGCAGCAGCAAATAGACAGTGGATGGCGCTACTCCTCTCCGGAGAGCGACTTGAGCAGGACTAGCTGCTCGAGGCACTCCTGCACCACCGAGTCGGGCGTCGACGCGCCCGAGGTGACGCCGATCCGAGCCGGCCGGTCGAGCGGCAAAAAGTCGGTGGTGGTGACCACCTCGCCCTCGACGGTCCTGTGCGTGATGGTGCCGTCGGCGGCGATGCAGGACGCCTCGTTGATGTGGTAGCCCGTCATGCCCGCCGCGATTGGGATCTCGAGCAGGTGCGCCGTGTTGGACGAGTCCCAGCCGCCGACCACGAGGACAAAGTCGAGCGCGGCGGCCGACTCGGGATCCGACATCTCGGTGATCGCGTCCTGCCGCACTTGCGTGGCGTCGCAGATCGTGTCGAAGGCGGCGAAGTTCTCGGCGGCGTGCTCCGGCCCGTACGCCTGGATCATCGCCTTCTCGAGGAGCTTGCCGATCGCCTGCCGACGGCGGGGCGGGGGGAGGGGGTGCGGGGCGGGGGTGCGGGGGGGTGCGGGGCGGGGGTGCGGGGCGGGGGTGCGGGGCCGGGGGTGCGGGGCGGGGGTGCTCGGCCGGGGCTGCGGAGCGAGGTTGCTGGGCCGGGCCTGCCGGGCGGGGGTTGCGCCGCGGGGCGTCCCGGGCCGGGTTTCCTGTTCCGGGGGGAAGGCCCACCCCGTTGGGGAAATATCGAAAGGCCAATCCTAAGGGGGCCGTCCTCGAGGGATTGGACCGCCCCCGCCTGCATTCTCCTTCTTGTACATCGTGGTCTGGTTCGCGACGCCAATCTTCTTCAGGTGCTTCTTCGGGTCGAACCTAAAGGCAGCCACCGCCGGCACACTCGTGCGCGGGGGGAGCCGCCTCTGCGAAAGGGCGGCGGCGGCGCCACCCCTCCGAGACGGCATTCTTGTACTTGTCGAGGAGCTCCTCGTCGGTGAGCGCGCCCTCCTCCCCCATGATGTAGGCTGCGATCTCGCGCGCCTCCTCGAGGTCCTTGATGATGATGTAGTGCTGCGCCATCGACGCCGTCGCGACCGACTCCTCGTGCGCCCACTTGCCGTGGATCACCTGTGTGGGGGGGCGGAGGGGGCGGTAACGCGGAGAGGGGCGAGGGGCCCACCCTCCGCGCGCGCGGCACCGAAGTCATCTGCTTCTGCGCGTGCTTGTCCACCGTCGTCCACACCTGCGGCTCGAAGGGCGGAGGAGCGGGCTGGAGGGCCGTCCCGCGGCGGAGGGCGCCTCGGGGCCTCTCGCCTTTGAGACCCACGGGCAAGTGGTGTCGACCACGGTCACGCCCCGCTGGTCGAGCATCTGCATCTCCTCGAGCGAGGCGCCTACCGACCGCCCACGCGAGGTGAGCGAGGGAGGCGCCGCCGGGCCGCCGGGGCGGCTGCGAGGGCCACCAAACGCGGGCAGGATGACCACGTCCCCGTCCTCAATGTCGCCAAAGCGCTTCCCCTCCTCGGTCTGCTCGATGAAGTTGATGTCCATGTCCTGGGCGGGAGGTGCGGCCGCGTGAGCGCCCTCTCTCGCCCACCACCCGGCACCCCCGCCCTATCCCGCCGGCGCCCGGGCGGCGGCGCGCCTTGAGCAGTCCGTTGACGCCGGGGTTGTGGATGAGCTCGTTGGTGATGTGCATCGGCCGGTCGGGGTACGCGTCGCGCGCCGCCCACGCGAGCTCGATCGAGCGCTCCACGCCCCAGCAGAAGCCGTACTCCTGCGCGAGCTGAAAGGTGATGGCGCGGCTGCCCTCCCCTTTGACCAGCTCGCGCGTGGTGCCCTCCTTCATCTGCTGGACGAGGTCCGAGGCGAAGGCCTGCGACATCTTCTCCGCCACGGCCGTGTGCGTCGATCGCTCGAACGGCGCGTTGCCGCGCTTGTACTTGTCCTGCGACATGATCCGCCGCCGCTCCGCGCGCTTGTCGAGCTCGCCCGGCCGCACCTTGTCGAGCTTGGTCACGCCGTCGGCGGCGAGCGCCGGCGGCGGCGAGCGCGGCGCGGCGCCCGCGCACCGCGGGGAGCCGACCTGCCAGCCGACGGCGGCAGCGACGAGAGCCGCGAGAGCGCTCATTGGGTGTGGAGCCACAAAAGAATTCTTGTGGGTGCCTCAAAGCCCTGATACAAGAAAACCCCTTTACGTGCCGTGCCGCGCCCTCACCGGAAACTCGAGCGAGCCCAAGCAGCGCCGGGACGCTCCTCTCCACCGTGATGCTCCTCGCCATCATCGTCACCACGACGTGGCTGCGGACGGGCGTCGCCCACGACATCGTGCGCCCGCTCTCCAACGTCGCCGAGATCCCTGCCTCGCCTGCCAGGAGCGGCGTCAAGCTCCTCGCTGGGCAGGTGCGCGGGTAGAGCTCTCCACCTTCGTTTCCGTCGGATGAATTATGTGGAATCGTACCCCTCGGTGGTTCCAAACCTATTCAAAAATGGACGCTTACAGAAGTCGGCAAAAATTCAACCGACAACCGTCCCACAACAACATCGATTGCGAGAGAAGAGGAGTGACTCTTGCTCAAAGTGCACAAAGGGTGGCGCGATTTCGGTTGAAATTCGCATCACCACTCGCCGCCTCTCGCCGCCGATCGATGACGAAGAGGAAGACCGAAGAGAGATGGGCCCAGGTAGGAGGCTCCACGCCACCTTTGACTCGCGTCGTGCCACCTGACTCTCGCCTGGAGAGGCCTCTTAGCCGAGGCACACGTGGCAATCGCCACGTGCGCCACCAGGGATTTCGGCCATTTTAGAGCCTTTTGCACAAAAATGCAGGTGGCTTTAGCCACTTGCTCCATGAGCAAAACAGTGCAAAAAGCACCTGGAGCAGATGGCTTACGCCGCCTGTGGACATGGGCAAAACAGTGCAAAAAGCACCTGGAGTAGATCTGGAGTAGATTCCAAACGCCGCCTGTGGCCATGTGAGCGCTCGGGTGGCGCCAAGGGCTTCGGCCCCCTCCAAGCCACCTGCCCCGCCCCCCTCGCCACACGTGGACGAAGATGCCCAGCGGGAGCCCGGCCTCCCTGGCCGACGACTCTAACTCTCCCGAGGGCGAGGTTCGGGGAGGGGCCGCCCTCTCCAGCCCCGCCGCTTTCCGGACCCCCTGCGCCGCGATCTTGTCCGTCGCCCTCATTCGTGTCGCCCGCCTCGTCAGGCGCAGGTCCGGCCTCCGCCTCGCCCTCCTCGTCCAGGTCCATGCTCGAGAAGCTGCCTTGCGAGTCGGGCTGCCCAGACAGTGTATCCTGCGAGCTTGCCTCCTCCGGCTCTCCTCCGGCTGCCCAGAGTGACAGTGTATCCTGCGAGCTTGCCTCTCCTCCTCCCCGTCCACGTCCATGCTCGAGGGGCTCTCCTGCGAGTCTACAGGCTCCCCGAGCAGGGTTAGGGTTTTCGGCGTCGCCCGCCACCGCGCACCGCCCGCCGCCATGGAGATCTGCTGCGTGTGGTGGACGACGAAGGAGGAGGCGCTCGCCGACGCCGCCCCGTCACCGTCCGGTCCGTGTTCAAAAAGAAAAGGGCCTCATTGCTCTTGACCTTTCTACCTATAACCTAACCTGCTGCCTGCGACGGATGGAGACCGACGTGAGAGCAACCTGGAAGCCACCGCAGCGGAAAGAATTTTAATGAACGACCAGAAAGAAACCGACTCGTGAGGCTGCGAAGCACGCCCAACATAGCGGGTACTTTCCGAGGCGCATTTCTCGAGTAGAAAGAAACTCCCGCAGCCGCTTCCTTTGCCTGCGACGTGTGGTCAAGAACGGCGGAACTCGCCTCTCAGGTGGCTCCATCACACACGATGGACCCCTCGGCGGGCGCCGCGTTCGCTCCGCCCGAGCCGGCCTCCTCGGAGCCCGCGGGCGAGGGGCAGCTTGCCCTCGTGCCCGCCGCGCCGCCCGACCCGCCGCCCGTGGCTGCAGCGCGGCCCGCTCCGCCCATGCTTCACCACGAGCCGAGCGCAAACTCTGCCTTCGCCGTCGAGGTGCTTCTTTTAATTCCTAAACCAAGGAATTAAAAGAATTTTCGCGGGGAACGAAGGTTCCAGATGTGACTCATTGCTCTTGACCTTTCTACCTATAACCTAACCTGCTGCCTGCGACGGATGGAGACCGACGTGAGAGCAACCTGGAAGCCACCGCAGCGGAAAGAATTTTAATGAACGACCAGAAAGAAACCGACTCGTGAGGCTGCGAAGCACGCCCAACATAGCGGGTACTTTCCGAGGCGCATTTCTCGAGTAGAAAGAAACTCCCGCAGCCGCTTCCTTTGCCTGCGACGTGTGGTCAAGAACGGCGGAACTCGCCTCTCAGGTGGCTCCATCACACACGATGGACCCCTCGGCGGGCGCCGCGTTCGCTCCGCCCGAGCCGGCCTCCTCGGAGCCCGCGGGCGAGGGGCAGCTTGCCCTCGTGCCCGCCGCGCCGCCCGACCCGCCGCCCGTGGCTGCAGCGCGGCCCGCTCCGCCCATGCTTCACCACGAGCCGAGCGCAAACTCTGCCTTCGCCGTCGAGGTGCTGCAGGGCCTTGCGTCCTCGGAGCCGCCGCTGGCCACCGCCACCATGGCGCCGCTGCAAGAGATGCCGCCGGCGCCCGCGATGGCGCAGCAGCCGCCCGCCGTCGGCATGCCGGACGGCGGCGCTGCGATGTACGGCTACTACGGCGCTTCGGAGGGAAACCCGGCGGTGTACGGGGGCGCGTACCACCCGGCGATGTACGCGCCACTCGGCCAGCAGTCGGCCGCGGGCTACCCGGTGTCGGCAATGCCGCCGCAATACTGGAGCTCGATGGGCTACTATCTGCAGCCAAACCAGCTGCAGCCCAACCAGCAGCCGGTCCCGATGCCGCAGTCGCAAGAGCCGCAGCAGCCGCCGCGCCAGCCGCGCCAGCAAAAGGCGGCGCCGGAGGCGACCGCCGCCGTGCCGGCCGCCGCCGGCAGCACCGCCGACGCCCGTGAGCTGGTGCCTCGCCCCGTCCTCCCGCGCGCACCGGCTGCTCCGGGGGCAGCACGCTCTCACACGCGCCTCCCCTCACACCCCCTCCCCGGCCGGCACGCATACGCCCCTCTCCTCCCAGCCCCTCCCCTCCCCCTCACCCCGCCGCAGGCAAGCCAGCCTGCGACTCGCCCCGCCAAGAAGGCAAAGACCTCGACCGTCACTCCCTGGCAAGCCCCCTGTAGACCGTCCCCAGACAGTGCCCAGACGCCGGCAACTCGACCGCCCCCACCCCCGCCCCCACTGTCGGCCTCCCCCTTGCGGCTTTCCTCCCCGGGCCCGCTCGGAACCTGCCCGGAACCTTCCCGCACCCCCCCCGCAGGCGCCCGTCCGAGGACTCGACCATCCTGCAGGGCGTCGCAGAGTCGGGCTGCAAGTGGTCCCTCATCGCGCAGCTCCTGCCCGGACGCTCCGACAACGCGGTCCGCAACAGGCGCGGGCCGGCGTCGAGACGGCGGCGCGGGCGGCGGCGCCTTCCCTGGACCTGGTCCGAGCCGCCGCCGTAGGTGGCACCGCCTCGAGAAGGCGGAGAGGCAGCGGCGCGAGGCGCTCGAGGCGGGCCGGCCGGTGGAGGGGTACCGCTGCCGCAAGTGCGGCCACTTCAAGAAGGGGCACATGTGCCTCGGCCTCGAGGGCGGGCAGCAGGCGCAGCAGGCGGTGCAGCAGGCGCAGGCGGCGGCGCAGGCGCAGGCGGGCCAGCAGCAGCAGATGATGCAGCAGCAGCAGATGCTGATGATGCAGCAGATGCAGGGCGGGGGCATGGCGGCCGGTGGTACGGCGTACACGTACCCCTCTGGTGCTCGCTGGACGGGTGGCGGCGTCCGTCTGGGACACGTCCCTGACACGTCCCTGACATGTCGTGCAGGGATGGAGGAGCTGCAGCGGATGGGACACGTGTCAGGGATGGAGGAGCTGCAGCGCGCCGTCGCGGCGAGCGCAGCCGACCCGGCCGGCGGGGGCTGGCTCGGGGGCGGGTACGCCCTGCACGGCCTCTCGCGGCAGACTGCAGACGTGCTCGGCGAGGGCGGCGCGGCGGCGGGCGTGGCGGGACTCTCCTCAGGCTTCTCCCCGACGGTTGCGGCCGCAAAGGCGGCGCAGCTCGACGCACTGCGCGAGTCGCTGGCCGCGGGGCAGCCTGTCGGGCAGCTTGCGGCGCTGGGCAACCCGGTGATGGGTGGGGCCCCGATGGCGGCATACCCGTCAGCCGCGTACCCGTCGATGGGCGGCAGGCTGCAGGGCGACACCCAGCCCGTGTGTGCAGCCGCGGCGGACGGGTCCATTACGTCGCTCGGCGGGGCGGACGGCGGCGGGGCGGGCGGCGCCCATTACGGCGCCCCGCCGCAGCCCAGCCCCGTGACGGAGCCCGTGCCGCAGCTGGTGCCGGCCGGCGAGGCGGCCGGGCAGCGGTAGTGCGCATCGCACGTCGGCAGCGTCGCATATCGTGGACAGCCTGCCCGTCTTCCCTTCTCTTCTACAGGTACAGGCTCAGCCGCCACCTCTGGGCGGCTTCCTCCAGCCTCACTCATGAATCTTGCCGGCCATCGCGGGCCGGGACCGCGAGGAACCAGGCACTCAGGTTATGTACGTTGCATGTGGCGGTTTTTGCCGCGCGTCCCGACTGCCCCGTGTGCGTGTGTGTGGTTGAGTTTCGAAATTAACACTCCGCAGTGTGCGCGGTGTCGCGCATCTCGGCACACACATGTGTATATATCGCTCGCGCTTAAACTCTCTCTTGCGCGCGCGCGACGTCTGACGACTGAACACCGCACACTCCATCGCGCGCGAACACCTCACGTACGGCTTTAGACTCTCTACCCGTCATCGGCGCTGCAGGAGCGGCTCGCCGGCGCTGCTCGGCATCTTGATCTTGTCGTTCATCTTCAGCTGCTCCCAGACACTGAGCAGCGCGTTCGCGCACTGCGCGCCGCTGCTCGCGACGGCGGGCACGCCGATGCCCGCCGTCGTCGAGTCGCCGCAGCGGAAGAGGCCGGGCAGCGGCGTCGTCACCTTTGGGAACTCGAAGCCGCCGCCCGCCGCGAGGGCGAGGCCGTAGTTGCCGCGGTGGCGGCGGAGGAAGCGCGCGTGCGTGAGCGGCGTGCCGATCTGGCGGACGACGACGCCCTCCTCCACGCGCGGCACCCGCCTCCGGATCGCCTCCCACATCGGGGCGGCGCGCTCCTCCTTGAGGGCGAGGTAGGCTGCGTCCTGCGGCCGGAGGGCGAGGGCGAGGGAGCGGGCTGGGGTCGGGGCTGGGGCGGGGTCGGGCTCCTTGAGGGCGACGGTACTCCGCGTCTAGCGACGCCGCACAGCTCCCGCACGTCGAGGGGACGGGAGAGGGCTGTCGCGCGGGAGAGGGGGGAGAGGGGACGGGAGAGGGCTGTCGCGCGGGAGAGGGGGGAGAGGGGACGGGAGAGGGGGGAGAGGGGACGGGAGAGGGGGGAGAGGGGACGGGAGAGGGGGGAGAGGGGACGGGAGAGGGGGGGGGAGGGAGCGGGAGAGGGGGGAGAGGGGACGGGAGAGGGGGGAGAGGGGACGGGAGAGGGGGGAGAGGGGGAGAGGGCCCCACGCTCGCGGGCGGAGGCGAGGTGACCTTGTTTGTGTCGACGCCCTCGAACCGCTCCCAGATGTGGTACGGCTCGTTGCCAGCCTGCAGCCAAGGCGCGGCCGAGGTGCGGCCGAGGTGTGCGGCGTCCGGGGGTTGGTGCGGCTCGCCGCCCGCCGTGTATGCGTGGATCACGTGGTGCCCCTCCGGCGCGAGGGACGGGTCGAGGATCGAAGGCACGCTCACCTGCAGGGTGTGGGGTAGGGGTAGGCTCAGCTGAAAGGGCGGGGGCTCCGAGGAGCTCTCCACGAGGGCTCGCGAGGGTCGAGGGGCGGCGGGCTCGCCACGATCACGTTGCCCGGCGCGTCGATCGGCACGTCCCAGCTGTTGACCACGGTCCACTGCGGAGGCAAGTCGGGCGGCATCGCGTCCGCCCTCACGCCCAAGTGCAAGTGCATGAACGACTTGCAGAGCGGCAGCCCCGCCCCGTCGGCCGGCCCGTCGTCGTCGCTGTACACCGGCGCCGCTGGAGCGAGCAGCGCGTCGCGCTCCTCATCGAAGCCGGCGTGCGCGCCCTCGGGCACCATCCGGAAAGTGTTGTGCAGGTCGGCCTACGGGGCAGGGACTCCCTCTCAAGGGGGAGGCTCCAGTGCCTCGCCGGAGGCCGCTCTGCGGGTCGGCGTTTGAGACGACGGCGCGCTTGGCGCGGAGCAGCCTGCCGCCTGCGGGACGTGTCCTGGACATGTCCTGGACAGGTCGCGGGCGTGTCACGGGTTCGCAGCAACCCGCCGCCCTTGAGGCGGACGCCGGCCGCTCGCCCCTCCTCCACCACAACCTCCTCGACGGGCGTCGAGGTGCGCACGGAGCAGCCGGCGTGCTTGGTCACTCCGCGCGCCAGCGCCGCCGCCATCGCCCCGCTCCCGCCCTTTGGGAAGTCCATCACCGCGTCCGGCTTGTAAAACTCGTCCACCATGAAGGCCATCACGGCGGTCAGAGTGCCGTTCGAGGGCAGCCCCTGCAGCAAGAAGGCGATCAGGTCGAGGTAGTTCTTGAGGAAGGGGTCGCGCACGCCGTACGCCTCCAGGTCGAAGGGGGCGGTGATCTTCTGCGCGTTCAGGATCACGTCGAGGAAGGCTCGCGGGTAGCGCGCGCCAAGCGTGAGCAGCACGCCCGCGTCGCCGCGCACCGCAGTCGAGGGCAGCGCGGTGACGCCCTTGGTCAGCGGCATCAGCTGCTCCGCGAGCCGGTCCCAGTCCTCCCTTGCCGTCGGGCCGCCGTACCGGCGCAGGATCTCCATGAAGTTCTCGGCGCCAATGGAGAGCTCGTACCCTTCGGGAACCTCGGGCAGGTGCGCGCCCCAAGTGTCATAGTTGATCCACTCGGGCTCCTCGCCAACCATCTGGAAGATGTGCTTGAGCGGGTTCGGGCTCGCGTCCGCGCTCAGGCCGCTGTACAGCGACGGGCCCGCCTCGAACTTGAAGACCGGCTGCGGCTTCTTGGCCAGCAGCTCCGACGGGACCGGCTTGCCGTCCATGTTGACGTTGAACTCGTGCGCGCAGCCGCCAATCTCGTAGTGCGACTCCAGCACCGCGACCTTGAGGCCCTGCGACGCGAGCAGGCCGGCGCAAGACAGGCCGCCGAGGCCGGCACCGACCACCACGACATCCACCTCTTCCGAAGCCGGTGCGCAAGCCCGGACGGCCGGCGCGCGCAGCCGCAGCGGAGGCGCATGCGCGGGTGCGAGGCCAAAGCCAGCGGCGGAGGGCAGCGAGATCAGCAGTGCGGTGAGGGTTAAGGTCAGCGGCGTCAACATGTCGAATCCGGTGTCGCTCCCAGGTGTATTCTTTTTTTGCTTGGGCGGACAGCATGACGGGGTAGGTAGGGTAGGTCTGGGCCCTCCCGTCGGGGTTTTCCCTCTCTTCACGCCGGAATTTTCACAGCAAAAAAAGAAATTTTCCGCGGAAATCACAATGTCAACCCTCCCCAAGTGGGTGATCTGGTGCTTGTAGGGCTTGAGAGTGGCCTGTCATGTCTCAGGAAGGACTGTGGTTGCAGGAGAGTACCACCAACCATCACTTTAGTTGGTATAGTACCCCACCTTCACCCGTCCCATGATTTCTTTTTTAGTTTCCCATAAGTAGGGTAGGTAGGTAGGTAGGTAGGTAGGGGCAGGGCAGGGGCCGGTCAGGTTTTTCCAGAATTTCATCATGCTGTCCGCCCAAGCAAAAAAAGAATACACCTGTCGCTCCTGTGCTTCTCGGAAGATGAATATTAACAAAAAAGACTGAAGGGCCTCGCGCAACACTGGGCACGGGACTGGTGCAAAAAGATTTTTGCGCCTGCGCAGTCATCCACGGCAAACTCTACCCGCAACACGCCGTCAACGGTGGGTTTGAAGAGCTCATCAACTTGCCAACCGCATTTGGTGTGCGGTTACAAACTGCAAAACAAAACAACTCCAATATGCATACAAGTGCTCCAAGTCGCAAGTGCATTTGGTTGGTCTATCTTTCTCGGCCTCACGTTTGCGCATCTTTCTTGGGGTCGAGTTCGAGGGAGAGATCGAGGCGTGTTCCGATGATCCCGACAACAAAATGATCCCGAGGCAATGGCTGTTCTGCGACGCAGGAACTTCAGCTGTCCGTTTCATATCTCCCTCGAAACTTCAGCTGTGGCTTCCGCCCCCCCGCCCGGGCATGGGCTGTGGTGCGTCGGCGGCGAACAAGGCGGACGCGGCCAAAGTCAGCCCGGAGCCGCCCGCAGCGGATGGAAGCGTGGACAAGGCGGACGTGGCCAAAGTCAGCCCGGAGCCGCCCGCAACGGATGGAAGCGTGGATAAGGCGGACGCGGCCAAAGTCAACCCGGAGCCTCCCGCAATGGATGGAAGCGTGGAGGAGGTGGACGTGCTGCTGATCGGCGCAGGGTTCACTGGCTGCTGGTTCGCCGACAAGCTGAGGGCCCGGTACAGCGCCGACCAGCTCTCCGTGGCGATGGTGGAGATGTCGCACCGCGTGGGCGGGCGGCTGATGTCGGACGATAACGACGGGTCCGGATCCATCGTGAAGGACGAGCTGGGCGGCATGCGCCTCTTCCCCTCCAAGATGCCGCGCATCGCGGCGCTGGTGGAGCGCTTCGGGCTGGACGTGGTGCCGCTGTCCCTAGCGGACGAGGGCAACCTGTTCCACTTCCATGGGGCGACTGGGCGCAAGAAGGACGCCAAGATGCCGACCGGCGGCCGCTGGGCGGGGTGCCCCCCCTCGGATATGTCCAAGGCTGCCGTGGCGGCGTATAAGGCGACCGAGGCGTGGGCGGCGTGCGGGCAGAGCGCGTACGCGTGCCCCGAGCTCCGCGAGCTGAGCGTGCCCGCGTTCCTCGCCAAATACGCGGAGGCCAGCGAGGAGGAGGTGGCTTGCTACTTCGCTCTCTCGGGCTACAACCTGTACCACGGCGACGTCCAGGCGGCCATCATGGTGCACGCCTCGGAGCTGTACGGCAGCGCGCTGAGCGAGCACCACTTCGTGCGCCAGGGGTACATGGAGGTGGTGAAGCGCCTGCAGAAAGCCAGTGGCGTGGAGCCGCGCATGGAGACCAAGGTGGCCTCGCTGTCGCGCCGCGAGTCTGACGGGCGGGTGGTGGCCACGCTGGAGGGCAAGCACGCGGGCACGATCGCGGCCAAAAAGGTGCTCGTCGGGGTCACGGCCGCGCAGTTGGCGCGGATCCGAGGCTGGGACAAGCTGGTGAGCCGCAACCGCGCGGCCGCGGTGCAGGCCTCCAAGCACATCCCGCTGTTCAAGTGCTTCCTGGACTTCCCCAAGCCCTGGTGGCAGGCTCACGGCTTCGTTGCCGGGAAGTCGGTCACTGACACGGACGTGCGGCAGATCCACTACTACGACGACGAGGACCTGCTGCTGTACGTGTCGGACGGCGACAGCGAGGCCACGCGGTACGCGTCGCACCTGGGCGAGGCCTTCAAGGCGGACAAGGAGAAGGCGCTGCGCGACGCGTGGTCCGTGGTGAAGAAGGTGCACGCAGAGGCGGGCGTGCCCGAGGAGGACATGGTGGAGCCCAGCTACGCGAGATGCGTGCACGCGTACTGGGAGGCGGGTTCGCACAAGTGGCGCGTGGGCGCGGACGTGCGCCAGTGCGTCGCCAGCGTGGCGGACGGCAGCGCCGACGGCAGTCAGGTCTATCTGGCGGGTGACGCGTTCTGCGACATGCAGGGCTGGGTGGAGGGCGCCATCGACGTGGCCGAGCAGGCGTTCGCCAAGGCGTTCCCGAAGGACGAGAAGGCGCTGGGCGCGTGATTCCCACGACGCGGCTCCCGAGTTCGTATGATCCGGCGCGCGGTGCCGCTACGGCTCTCTGGTCTCGCCCCCGTTCGCAGCGTGGCGATGGCATAGGGCGCTTTTCTGCGACGGATTTAGAAAGGGAAACAGAATTTTGCGACGGAAAAAGAAAACGCCGGCGGACTTGCTCGCCCGCGTTCGCGCGAGCCATTTTCTGCACTCGGCTGTGCTCACGCCCTGCGTGCTCGCCGCCCTGCGTGTGTCTCCACTCGGCATGCTTCGCAACGCGCATCGCGCCATATCCAACGCCGCGCGCCGGCCAGAGCTGCGACGAACACCCCAGGTGCTCGCCCGCCGTGCATTCTGCGCTCCAGTCGCGGTCCGCCCGCTCCATCTGCTGCTTTACCATTATACTGAGGACGCCGACGTGAAGCGGGAGCCTCATCGCGCCCGCCACCTCGCGGCGGCGCGGGCGGCAGAGGCTCGCGGCGACCTGCTGCTCGGCGGAGCGCTGTCGCAGCCGCTCGACGGCGCCGTCCTCGTCTTCGCGGACGGCGCGGCGGCGGAGGAGTTCGCCGCCGGCGACCCGTACGTCGCCGAGGGGATCGTCGAGACCTGGACGGTTCGCGAGTGGTCGGCGGTGGCGGGCTCGCTGCTGCAGCACGTCCCTCCGCCGCCGCCCTTTCCGTCGTACGAGTGGCAGCGCTTCGCGGACGGCGTGGCGGTCCCCGCGGGGTTGGAGGTGGAGCTTCCACTCGACGGGCGGCCTGGCCGGGCGCGCATCCCTCCCTGCTGGCAGCTCGACGTGTGGGTGGACGAGGCGCGCGGCTTCTGGCGAGGAGAGGTGCGGCGCGAGACGACGGTCGGCGAGCTTCGCTCCCTGGCGGCGAGGCACGCGGGCTGCTCGAGCGAGGCGGTCACGCTGCGCCTCGACGGGGCGCCGCTCGACGACGACGCCGCGACGGCGGAGCAGATCGACCTGTTTGGCCGCAAGGGCGCGCTCGAGGTGCTGGTGGAGGAGGCGCGGTGAGGGGGGGGGGGGCGTGTGGGTACAACGCGCAAAAAGTGTTTGGATGGTGTGCGTGTGCGTGTGAGTTCTTTGCGTGGGACCAAGCTCCCACGCACCCACCACCACCAGCCCACGTGCAGGGCACAGTTGACACAGACCCCCCCATCGGCCGGCCCGCCCGGCAGGGTGGAGACGCCTCGCCGCTCGCTTCGGACGAGTGTGGTGTGTGTGCAGTCTGCAGACCCCGCGACAGCCGCAACCGCGAGCCGCGGACATGCTGGCAGGGAAGTGGACCCGCAGTGCGAGTTGCACAGACCGGGAGGAGGCCAACAGGCCTCACACCCGTGTGCCGTGAGGCCATGCTCCGGGGGGGTCAGCCAGATGAGAGGGGCGCCTTTCGTCCTTCCATCCGTCCATTTTTTTTCACGTGCTTGTATTGTGGTTGACGAATGACGACACATCGGACCGTGATCTGAGGCGGGAGACTGGTGAGATCGCGCGGGGTCATATGAGGTGTACGAAAATGCGCATATGGTTGGATGGCACAGGCAGAAGCCTAGCAGTGCACCCGCTCGCCCGCAAGGTAGCACTTGCTCGCACGACACTGCGCGGCGGGGTTCGTGTACGCGCTGTGCTCACCGAGCCGGCCGTCGCACATGTACGCCACTCGCTCCCGGTCCGCAGCGTCGCAGTCCCGCAGGTACGGCCATCGCCCGCACTTGACACCCTGCAGGTCGAGCAAGTCCGTTCTCTCGGAGTGGTTGTTGAGCATGACAATCTCGAACCGCGGCTCGGGCGAATAGTACTCGAGCCGGTTTGGGATCTGGATCGAGTCTAGACCGGCGCGCAAGCGCGCAGACGTGAGTAGCCAAGCGGCCATCGAGAAGCTGCTCGCCACCCTAGTACGCCCCAGATTAAGGCTGAAGCCCGAGCCGGGCGCTTCATACACCCAGAAGTCTGCCTCCTTCCAACTCAACTCGCCGCGCCTGCAATGCACCACCTCCACCCACGATCCCGTCGCGTGCACATGCTGAAACGACGGCTTGTGTATCCACACCGCGTTCCGCTCCTTGTACGGCGACCAGAACAAGGGCCGCTCAGGCGTGCCTCCTCGGTCTGCGCACCAGCTCGCGTTGTGGAAAGCGGCCCACCCAACCTCCTGCTCCTCACTCTCCCCGACACCCCTTGTTTGTACCGCCGCCGCCGCCAAGCCCGCCGCCGCCTTGGCCGCCTTGAGCTGCTCAAAGCGGCGCTGCGCCTCGGGCTGCAGGCCGCCACCCACCTCGCGCCGGTCGTACAGCTCGAGCAATTGTTCCTTCATAGCGGTCGTGAACTCGGGTGGCGTGGCGGCAATGGCGGCGGACCCCTCTGGAGATGCCCCCCGGGGCCGCAGCCGCAGCCGCGAAACGAGAGGCAGCCAGACAATGCGCAAGTCGGCGACCGGCGGGGTGCGTCCCTCACGGCCGTAGAGCTGCGCACTGTACGAGCCGTTGAGATCGGGCAGCTGCGAGAGAACGATGTCGTCTAGCAGGCGCGAGAAGTAGGTCCGGTCCTCGCCGTAGCTCAAAAAGCCATCCTCGGGCCGTAGCGTGCACACGTCGCAGAGCCGGCACTCCCCCTTCGCTGCATGGTGGCTCCAGTAGCGAAACCCCGCCGCACGACATGCACTCTCATTCATCATCGATGCCAAATAGCCGCCGCGGTTGGACTGCTGCCCATGGCCACGAAAGGCGTGCCCCCTGTGGTCTCGCGCCCACCTGCAGCATGACTGGTTGGTCGCCAGCAGGGACATGTACATGTTGCATGTGCATGTTGTGCACGTTGCCACCCCTTTGGTTAGACCCGTGACCACCGACTTGTAGCGAAGCTGACCCCCACCCAGCCCAGGCCGACGCGCGCAACCTGACAACCTGCTTTTACATTTCCATGCGTGTCAGTTTGAGCACTGAATCTGAAAGCACTGTATTCACCGGGCCGCGCCGACACTTGTGAGCTGAGCCACCGCTCCGGCCGAGTTCGAGCTATTTTTTGGAGACCCCCTTGACAATAGAGCGAGTTAGAGAGAGCGCGCTCTCTAAATCTCCATGGCTCACCAATGTGACAACTCAGAGGTTCGATAGCACAAAAGCAGCGCATGGCCGATGGGCTAATCGTTGCAAAAAGCGACGATCGCGCGCACAAACGCCAGAGGCTAAGATAGCCTACTGACAGTCGACAAGATGCGCTTCCGCAGCAGACGGCTGTCCACACCAAGCTCGTCTCGCAGGTCTTGGTCGTCGAGCAGCAGCAGCAAGGGCCCGTCCACGTGGTGGCTGCGAAAGCGAGCGACCGTGGCCGTCTCGAGCGCAAGCTCGCGCTCGAGCCAATCGCACACGTCGCTGCAGGACCATGCCTCGACCCGCTGTTTAAGCGGCGCAGCGGCTGGCGATCCAAGAGGCGCATCCACCGATGGCGCAGCGGCTGGCGGCCCAAGAGATGGCGGAGCCGCCACCGCAGCGTGGCAGCCGTCCACCGGCAGCCGACCCGCTCGCCGCAGCGTCAGGATGTGCCGCTCCAGCTCCTCCTCGCCCTCTCGCACCCGGCGTGCAAAGTCGGCGCCCGCAGGAACGTCGCGAAATCGATCTCGGACGTACCGCAGCATCCAGGCGCGGTGCTCGGGCACAGACAGCGCCGCCATCCGGAGCGATCGGCGGTAGAGGCTGCAGACGTCGGCTCGAAAGGTGCGCATCGCCGTGACGTCTCACCTTACCGAGGCGGACGAGGTGGAACGCTCTCGCTCGTTGGGCGTTCTCTTGCAGGGCGTTCGTGTCTTGGTAAGCGTTTGTGCCCTGGGAGCGCTGCGTGAAATGGCGCGGTCGTCGAGAGCCGGGCGTGAAATGGCTCGGTCGTCGAGAGCCGCGCGCGCCCCGGGTATTTCTTTCCGACTGCCGTGAGCCCTGTTACGCGAATTCTGTTTTCGGTGGTCTCCTCTGCTCCTCTCCATTGCGGGCACACCCACGGCGATCGAGGCGGTGATCACCGGAGCCGATCCACAAGTACGCGCCGCCCTCAAGCCAGAGGAGCTGGAAGAAGACCTCCTCCTCCACGAAGGACGAGAGAGATTTTTATTAACCAACAAGAAATCACGACTCTCACAGGACGAGGACCAGGACTCCATCGCACACGCGTCGTCAAAGAAAAACGGAATAAATGTTTTCGCGAATTCTTTTGTGTAAACAGTCTCCGTAGCGACCCTGGCGAGTAGAGGCCCCGCCCAGCCAGGGTACCCCTCCGAGGGACCCCACATCTCGCACGCCCCTCTTCCGAGGCCTCGCCGGGGCCTGCTCGGAGTGCGAGCGTGTGCCTCTACCGCCAGGTAGCGACCTGCCAGCGTGCGCGCCGCGGGGTGATAGGCGTGCATCAAAATCTCTTTTCCGACTTTCGCCGGTCCCTCCATGAGCACTTCGAGGAGAGACGCGGCGCTCGCCGAGTTGCGAGCGCGCACGGCAGGCTTCGCTGGCCTGCCGCTCGCCTCTGCGTCCGACGTGATCAGCATGCAGCAGGGCGGCCGCGACGTGATCCTCATCGACGTGCGGTCGCCGCCGGAGCGCGCGGTGAGCACTCTGCCAGGCGCACTGGACCAGCACTCCTTTGCCGCCCTGGCGAGGGAGGAGCCGGAGCGTGTCGCCGCCGCCGTGCTAGTTCCGTTTTGCACCATCGGCTTTCGCTCCGGCCTGTACTGCGAATGGATCAGAGGCGGCGGCCTCGGCATGGCGGCGTCCTCCGAGCTCGACGTGCGAAACGGGGAGGGTGTGGTGCTGTGGAGCCACGACGTCGGCACGTTTGTGCAGGATGGTGCGCCAGTGAGGTCGCTGCACGTGTATGGGAGCGCGTGGGACTTGGCGGCAGACGGGTTCGACACGGTGACGTTTGGACCTGCGGGCCATCTCAGCGCGGCGCTGCGCGTCGCGTGGCAGTGGTTTGGTAGTTGGCGGTGACGTCGTATGAAGAATAAGGCGGAATTGGCATCTGAGCCCTGGTCTGACAGCCTGACAGCAAACCCGGACAGCGCCTGACAGTGCCCGACAGCCTGACAGCGTTGACAGCACTTTCTCTGACAGTCTGACAGCACGTATCTGACAGCCTGACAGCAGAGTCTGACATCAGAGGGGCTCCGTCGCTGTCAGGCCCTAACGTGACAGCCTGACAGCTGCCTGACACCTGACAGCCCGACAGCACACAGTGGCCTGACAGCAGCGCTGACAGCCCGACAGCCCGACCAGCCCGACAGCAGCACAGACCGTACACAGCCGTGCAGCCTCTTTCTTGCGCCCATGAGGGTATAACAAAACATGCAAAGACATGTATGTGAGTGTGGTGCATGCACATGTGCATGCACATGTTGTGCATGCAGTCATGGGCTGGTCATGGGTCTCTCTCTCAACCCTCCGTCCCTCCCGCCCCACCTCTGCGGACCCCTCCGCTCTAGCACCGGCGGCTGTGCTACTACAAATGAAGCTACCAGCTAGCCTTCTGGGGCCCTACACGCTACAGCCATATGCCTACGGCGTCTGGGTGGGGGTGGCCGCCGCCGTCTGTGCCGCGCTGCCGCCGCCGCCGCCTGCGCCTGCGCCGCCATCTGCGCTCCCCAGGCGGACCCCTTCTAGGTAGAGTAGAGACTAGAGTATGTGTAGTAGAGTCCTGCTGGTCTCCTCTTGATAATGTCATAAGTGTAGATAGTGTGTCAGAGCCTGACAGCACCCCGACAGCACCAACCGACAGCACCTGACAGCACCGGCGTCTCTGACAGCAGCAGCAGCCCGACAGCTCTGACAGCTCCGACAGCGTCTGACAGCAACACCCGACAGCTCCGACAGCACCCGACAGCTACGGAGCCCCTCTGATGTCACACAAGCACCCGACAGCACCCGACAGCACCCGACAGCACCTGACAGCTGGTCTGACAGAGGCACCCGACAGCACCTGACAGCTGGTCTGACAGAGGCACCTGACACGAGTGCCTGACAGTGCCTGACAGCCTGACAGATCACCTGACAGCACCTGACAGCCTGACAGTCAGGGCTCAGAAAGGCATGCGCACGGCGGTCCGGGTGATGACGACGTGACGTGACTCGCGTGCAAAAAAGAAACATCACATTCACCTGGGTTCGTTTGCGACCCGACCCGCGCGAGCCGAGATTACACAAGTACGGTACAATGCACCGCTCGCGCAGGCACAGATTCAGAGAGCGTAAACGAAAACGTTCTCTCTCACTCTCGCCCTACTCTCTCGCTCCCTCTTCTCTCTTCCACATGCGGGATCTCCCTAGACTCCCAGCCCTGAGGTGCTCTCCCGTCTCTCGGTCTAGATCTCTCTCGACACACCTCTCGAATCACAATAACCAACATCGGTACCCCGCGTGTCATCCGCGCGCTCTCTCGCCTACGTCCCGGACGTACTACGTGTACCCGCGAGGGGGAGGACCGCCGAGGATCGCGCCGGAGGCCGCCCCCGACACGCTCGCCAGCGGCGACTCGCGCACGAGCCGCGAGCGGTCGCTCACGAGCTCCTGCCGCCGCTGCCCGAACTTGAGGGCTTGGACCGGGCTCGGCTTGGTGGCCCACGCGGTGGCGTCGCGCACGGCGCGGCCCCAGAGCATCTCGGGGTCGAGCGCGTAGCCAACCACCTCGCCCTCCTGCGTGCCGACGATCAGCTCGCCGTCGCGCGCCGAGATGCTCGAGATGGCTGCGCCCGCGGGCTCGAGCCGGCAGGTGAGCGCCCCGTCGTCGAGCCGCCAGATGCAAACCTAACGAGACGGCGCGGTGGACGCGTCATGGACGCGTCATCGGCCAGCGCCCCGGTCGTCGGGCCGCCGGATCGCGAGCCTCGCCGCTCACGCCGCCGACGACGACGCACATGTGCTCCGGCGTCAGCAGCACCGACCGGATGCCTCCCGCGAGGGCGAAGGTGTGCAGGCAGGCGCCGCCGAGCGAGTAGACGCGCAGCCGGCCCTCGCTGGTCGCGGCGGCGCCGACGAGCAGCCGGTGGGGCAGCGAGGCGATGTGGAGGTGGCCGATGGTCGCCCCCTCGGGGTGCGTGATCGAACGGACGAGCGCGCCGTTGTGGCACGTGTGGAGCAGCACGCGCCCGTCCACGGCGCCCGAGGCGGCGAGGTCGAGGTGCGCGGAGACGGCGACGGCGGAGATCTCGCGCACGTGGCCGCGCAGCGCGCGCAGCGGCTGCGGCACGGTCGTGTGCTTTGGGACGGAGGGCGGCGCGAGGAACCAGAGGACCGCCGTCGTGTCCTCGGCGCCGGTGATGAGCAGCGCGCCTGATTCGTGACGGAGCATGGACATGATTCGACAACAACCAGAAGGCAGGCGCCGGCGACGAGAGGCGCGCCCGAGACGGCGAGGCAGGTGATGGTGCGCGAGTGCTGCACGGCCGCGTGCAGCGTCCGGCCCGCCTCGGAGCTGACGCAGAGCGTGCCGTCCCAGTGCCCGCCCGAGAGCACCGCCGCGCCGCGGCCGCCGTCGCCGCCGGGCAGCAGCGCCGAGTAGCGGCTCTTGCGCGAGTCGGCGCCGGGCAGCTGCGTCGAGCACTGGCGGCGCATCGTCGACACCACCGGCCCGCGGCTCGCGGGCGGCGGCCAGCGGAAGGAGTGCACGGCGGAGCGCGCGTCGAGCACCACCAGGCGGCGCTGCTCGGCAAGATCGCCGGCGAGGCAGAGGGCGGCGATGGCGAGGCTGCCGCCCTGGGGCTCGGGGCCGGCGTGCTGCCGCCGCGACTGCGCCGTGAGCACGCCGAGTGGGACGCGCGCGAAGGGGCGCACGCCGGGCGCTCCCCAGTGCACGGGCCGCAGGAAGGGGAGCGGCGGCCGGCGGGGCGGGTGCGGCGCGGCGAAGAGCTGCATCGGCGTCTGGCCGAAGCAGGCGATCTGCGTGCTCAGCGCCTCGCGCTCGGCCGGGTCGGCGACGCTCTCGAGGTCGACGGCGCCCTCGTAGGTGAGGTAGAAGAAGACGTTGTGCGCCTCCTGCGCCGCCTGCCCCTGCTGCTTAGCGCCAAAGATGAGGTCGACCCACAAGTGCAGGTGGCTGCTCACGTGCTCCGACTCGAGGGCGCGCCGGTGCTGCGCGATGAAGTCGTCCGCGCTGCGCGCCCACATCGGCAGCACCACGTCGCCCACCCGCTTGTGGTCCTGCCGCACGCCGAGCTCGAAGCCGCCGTCGTTGCGCAGAAAGTCGGGCAGGTAGAAGAACTCGGGGACGAGCTCCTTGACGTCGGCGAGGGAGGTGGTGCACGAGTGCCACGCCTCCTCGAGCGACGCGAAGAGCCGGTCCGCGTGGTCGAAGCGCCCCGACTGCAGCTCGATCGAGTACGAGGTGTACGGCTCGAGCCGGAGCAGCCAGAAGAGCACCGCACCCGCCGACGAGTAGTGCGAGCCGTAGTGGAAGCGCGGCATGTCCGCCTCGGCCTCCATCTGCTCGTACCGCTCGATGACCTGCGCGAGCCGGTCGTCGGTGAGAGCGCCGACCGGCTTGGAGAGGTCGCGGTACGAGGCGGGGTCGGCGAGGTTGAGCGAGGGCGAGGTGTAGTCGGCGAGGACCCACGGGAAGACGGGGTACTGGTTGAGGTCGTTGAAGGTGCGGCCAGAGAGGGTGTTGAGCTCCATCAAGTACTCAAAGTTGGACAGCTCGCGCCGCTGCCACGCGTCGAGCAGCGCGGCTCGCGCCGCGCGCCTGTTCACAGCCACGCACGTGAAGAGACGCTACACACACCTCTCGAGCAGCGCGCCGCTCGCCGCGCGCCAGGAGCGCTCCGGCACGCCCGCGCGCCGCAGCGCGCGCCGCAGCGCCTCGCGCTTGCGCTTCGACAGCACGTTGAGGAAGACGGCGGACGCGTCGACAAACACCTCGACCGCGGTGTGCATGAGCAAGTACCGCCGTCGCTGCATGTGCTTGAGCTCGGCGCAGAGCCACGTCTTGGTGTAGCTGCCCTCCGCGCCGTCGCGCGCGCCGGCCTGCTCGGGGCCCGCCGCCGCCGCGGCCGACCCGTCAAAATGCAGGCTGCGCTTCGAGAGGCGGAGCACGCCTGTGAGGAAAATCCCGAGAAGGTTCGAGGACGGTTCGTGGAGGCGGCTGCGATTCAAGAGGCGCGCAGCGCGCCTTGCCGGATGCCGCCCCGCCAGACCAGCTCACAAGGCTCGTCGAAGAGCCACGCCTCGTCCCAGCCGCCCTCCGCCGCGCGTTCCGGCGGCGGGGGCGGCACCGCCGCCTCGGCGGCAAAGCTGGCCAGCGGCTCCGCGTCGGGCGGGCGCGGCGGCGAGGGCGGCGCGGCGGCCTCGGCGGGCTCCTATGGGAGGGTTCCGAGAAGGTTCCGAGACCGGGCTCGAAGAAGAAGCGGCCGCCTCCGCGGGCAGCTCGGCCGGCTGGCCGCTCTTCCGCTGCGGCGACGCGGGCGAGCCGCCGGCCTCGCCGCTCGAGACGCGCAGCGAGCCGCCGCCGCGCGGGCCGAGGTCCGCCACGCCGACGTCCAGCGCCGCCTCATCCTCCTCGTCCTCGTCGCCGAGCTGCGGGTCGTCGACGGCGCCGTCGGAGGCGATGCGGACCACGGTCTTGGCGAGCTTGGCCGCCTGCCTCAGCTTGGCGAGCGACCCCTCCGACTCGCGCGCGTCGTCGCCGACGGAGCCGTCGCGCACCGCCGAACCGCCGCTCTGCTGCTGGACGAGCGACGCCTGCGCGTGGTCCGTCAGCTGCGAGTTGGGCAGCTGCAGCACCCGCCGCCGCCAATAGTCTTCGCACTCGAGCAGCTCGCACCGCTCCTCTGCGCGCGCGGCGGCGCCCTGCTCCTGCGGCGCCTCCCACGCGCCCTGCTCCTGCTGCAGCGAGCGGTGCGTCTCCTTCCACCGCTGCGCAGCGTGCGCCGCCAGAGCCGCAGCGCGGCTCCACGCGGCGCCGACGCGGCGCGCCTCCTCGGCGCGCAGCGCGGTGTACGCGCCCGCGGCCTCCTCCGCCGCCTCGGAGCACTGCACCGCCTCCTCCTCCGCGACGGAAGCCCACGCCGCCTGCGCAAGCCCGACCCGCTGGGCCGCATCCGACACCGCGGCCGCCGTCTGCGCCGCGTTGTCTGCCTCGAGCGCCGCCGCCGCCTCGCGCAGGAGCGGCGCGTCGAGCAGCGGCCCCCACGCGCCTATCGCGGGCAACCTCAGGTCCCCTCGCGGCATGTCGGGCGCGTAGCAGCGGGGCATTACTCGCGCCAAAGGCCGCGAGGAACTGCTCCGGAGAGCAGGCGCCGCTCATCCACGCGGGAGGCTCGTCCGCGGCGAGCGCGGCCGCGAGCCTTTCGAGCGCGGCGGGCGAGGCGAGGGGCGCGCCCGCGTCCACGGCGGCCCCCGCGGCGACGGCAGCGTCGATGTGGAGCAGCGAGGTGGCGGGGCCGTCGTACGCGGCGGCGGGCGGAGGCAGCGGCTCGGGCGCCGCGAGGTCGGCCGCGATGGGGAGGCGGTAGGTGCGCAGCACGCCCTGCAGCGGCGGCACGAGCGCCTCCACCATCTCGCGCTGCAGCTGCGTGCCCGGCACGTCGCGCACCTCGAGCACCTGCCGCCGCAGCGGCAAGGCGAGCGAGACGAGCAAGTGCAGCACGTGCTTCCGCCGGCCCGGCCAAGACTCGTCGGCCGCACCCGCGCGCTCGTGGCTCGCGAGCATCGCCCACGCGGAGCCCTGCTCGAGGTCCCGCCACAGCAGCTCGCGCAGCCGCTGCCGCGCGGCGACGCAAGCCGCCTGCGCCGCCGGGTGCGTGTCGGGGAGGGCGGGGAGCTGCAGCAGCAGCAGCAGCTGCTGCAGCAAGCACGAGTGGAGCGACGAGCCGTCCGAGTCCGTGTCGGTGACAGCCATGGTGGTGGCCGTCGCCACGGCCGCGGCGACCGCGGCGGCCGACTCCGCCGCGTCTGCCGCCGTCGAGATTGCTGTGCCGGAGAGGCTCGACGTCGCCGACGAAGAGCGGGGCGCCGAGACGAGCCCGCCGAGGGTGCCTGCGGGAAGGGGCGCAAAGAAGGCTCAAGGAAGGTTCACGGAAGCGTCACGACACGTCCGCCGGTGGCACCCTTGAGGCCCGCGCCCACCCGCCCCGCCAGCGTGCTCGCGCCGACTAGGCCGTGCGCGAAGCTTCCCGCGAGCGAGGTGAGCAGCCGCGCCTGGGGGAGGGCTCCGAGAGGGTTCCGAGAGGGTTCCGAGAAGGCTCGCGGAGAAGGCTCGTGGTGGAGAAGGGGATCGGCCCGCGCCTCGCCGCTCGTCGACTCGGCGCGCGCCCGAAGCGCCACGTCCGCCTCGTCGTCCATCATCGCTCGCACGAGGAGAGGGTCCAGCAGCGCGAGGAGCGAGCCTAGTCTCGGACCATCTCGGATCATCTCGAGACTCGGACCTCTCCCCAGCAGCGCGAGGAGCGAGCCGATCATCGCCGCCTCCGCCCCCATCGCGGCCGCCCCCTCTGCGGCCCGCAGCCGCAGCCAGCGGTCGGACGCACCGCGCACCGCGTTCTCGGCGCCCCCAGCCAGCAGCCGCAGCCCGACCCGCAGCCCGCCCGCCCCCTGCCCGCACACCCCCTGCCCGCCGGCGCCCCCTCCGACGACGAGACGCACGCGCACGGGCTGCGCGGGCGGCAATGCGGAGAGGGTGTGCATGCGGACGGCGCGGCAGAGACGGCGCAGCTTGGGCGTCGAAGCGGGCAGGTCTGCGGCGAGGCGCTGCGCCTAGAGGGAGGCTCCGAGAGGCTTCCGGGAAGGTTTCGAGGCGGCAGAGGTCCGCGGCGAGACGCTGCGCCGAGCGCTGCAGCGACGCGAGCAGCCGGCTGAGCAGTGCGCGCCGCGCCGCCTGCGCGACGGCGGCGGAGGAGCAGCCGTGCACCAGCGTGAGCACGAGGTCGAGCGCGCGCCAGCACGGGTCGAGTGGCAACGACTCGACGAGGTAGGTGCACCTTGGGTTAGGGTGAGGGTGTGGGGTAGGGATAGGGATAGACTCGGCGAGGTGTGCAGCGAAGGAGTGGGCGCACGCACAGAAGCTCGTTGAGCATCGTTAGCACGTCGGCGCCGCTCGCCTTCGACCGCCGCGCCGGTGGCGAGGCCACGGAGTCGGCCAAAGCCGAAGCGGCGAGCGCCCCCCTGCCCCGCGCCGCCGCCACCACCTCGCCCGCGTACCGGCCGAGGAGCCTCGCGAACTGCGGCTGCCAGAGAGCCGGCTGGGCGGTGAGCAGCTCGCAGTTCTCGGGGCAGAGCCGCAGCCAGAGGCAGAAGCGCTCGAGGAGGGCGAGGGCCTGCGGCGGCTCGGAGCGGCCGCACGCGTCGAGCAGCGCCTATTGCAAGGCCCCGAGAAGGTGGTCCCACGAGAGAGTCGACGAAGAAGCAGCCACACGCGTCAAGCAGCGCCGGCACCGAAGGAGAATCTCGGCGAATCTCGGCGAATCTCGGCGAATCTCGGCTAGTCAGCGCCGGCAGCAGGCGAGGGCACGCAATGCGGACCGCCTCGAAATCGGCGCCGGTCGGCTGCGCCTGGAGGATGCGTCGTGGATGCGTCGTGGGCGTGTCGTGACGTGGGTGCGTCGTGCGGGGGCTGAATGCTACGACAGGCGGCAAGTGGTCTGCAGGCTGCGTGGTCTGCAAGCTGCGCGCCGGCGCTGCGAGGATGAGCGAGACGAGGCACTCGCCCGCCTCGGGGGAGGGAGGGAGCTGGCGGAAGGCGAGTCGGACGGCGGCCAAGCCGCGCATCCGCATCCACCCGGCCCAGCCCTGCGCGAAGTCACCGGACGCGGCGGGAGGCTGCCCGGCGGCACGGCCGCGGAGCCCGGCCTGGATGCGGTCGGAGGCGGCGAGCGGCGCACAGACAAGTCGCGCAGCGAGCAAGGCGACGGCGCGGTTGGGCGGCGAGAGCATCAAATGCACGAGGGCGAGTAGTCCTCCGCGCGCAATCAGCGCGGGCAGCACGGCGGCCTGAAGGGAGGCTCCGAGAAGGCTCGGAGAAAGAGCTCCGTCGCAGCCGTCGTGGGCAGCGCGGCGGCCTCGTGCAGCGCGGCGAGCTGCAGCAGCAGCTCGAGAGCGGCCTGCTGGCCGGCGGCGTCGGAGCCGCTGCAGAGCACGTGTGCGAGGAGAGGCGGAGCGCCCAGCGCGGCCAAAGCCTCGGACGAGAGGATACACGCCTGTGGGAAGGTTCCGAGAGGTGCAGGAAAGCTCGTGCGTGTGGCCTCGAGGGGAGGAGGAGGAGAGGAGACGCACCGTCAGCAGGTGCTGGGTCTGCAGCGACGACGCCATGGCAACCTCCGCCTCCACCGCCGCCGCGACCGCCGCGGCCGCGCCACCCGCCTCGACGGCGGTGCCGGCGCCCGCGGCGCCCGCGGCAGCGGAGGTGCGTGCCGCGTCGAGCAGCCGCTGAGACAGTCCGCAGCCGATGGCGGCCGCCTGCAGGGCCAGGGGTAGGGTTTCAAGGCCATGGCTTGGCTGCCAGCTGAGCTGCAGCTGCAAGCTGCGGCGTGCGGCGTCATGCGAAGGGGCTTCGTGTCCCAGCGCGGTGCGACCTCCGCGTCGGGCGCTGAGTTACGCGCGCTAGGCCCATGCGGGCCTGACACTTCCGAGACACTTCCTTGGGGCCGGTGCTGCGTGTGTCTGCCTGTCTGGCTGAGCCGAGTACCGTGCGGCCTGGGCTGGGGCTGCGTCTTTGTGCGTGTTGTCTGTCGCTCTGAGATGGGTCTTGGTTGGGACCACCTCGTCGGATGCAGCCAGCGCGGTCAGCAGGGAGAGGTGCGCTGAGCGCACGTCGGTGGCGAGCCGGCGCCAGATGTCGAAGCGCAGCAGCACGCACTCGATCAGCGCGCGCTGCAGCGGCGGGCAGTCACGGCACGCCTGGCAGAGGCGGGCGGCGGCTCGGAAGTGCGGTGGCGCGTTCCGACGGTGGCGGGAGGGAAGGGAGGAGGGGAGGGCGTGAGCCTCAGAGAGCTCGACGAGCGCATCGACGGCGGCGGCCGAGAAGTGGCACGGCGCGGCGGCACGCAGCAAGTGGCCGAGGAGGAGCATGCCTGTCTAGACGAGAGAAGCGTGGACCGCCGCTCAAGCTCGCTCGCAGCAGCTGCCCTTCGGAGCGGGGCATGGCCGCATCTCGGCCGCATCTTGACCGCATCTCGACCGCATCTCGGCGGCATCTCGACCGCATCTCGGCGGCATCTCGACCGCATCTCGGCGGCATCTCGTGCCTTCCGAGCGGAGCATCTCGGACTGGTTGCGCGCGTGTTCGCGCAGCGCGGAGGCGAGCAGCTGCACCACGCAAGGGAGCAGCTCCGCGCCTGCAGGAAGGCTCCGAGAAGGGTCGGAGAGGGCGTACCAGCTCGCAACACCACGGAGCAGCTCGGCGCCGCGCGGCTGGCTGCGCCGCCGCAGCGGCAGCAGCGGCCGCAACAGCGGGAGCATGCCGCCAAGCGAGTCGCGCGCAGAGAGCGTGTCGACGCAGGAGATGTGCTCTGAGCGCGGCCGCGCCAGCCACGTCCCCTCGGCAGTCACCTGGCGGCGGGGGGGCGGCCTGGTCAGAGGAGAGCACCGCGCGGCAGCTCTGGCGGCGGCGGAGGCCGACACCGCGACGCACGCGCCGCCGCCGTCGGTGAGCCTCGGGTGCCACGCTGCGGCGATCTGCGGGAGCTCGAAGAAGGCTCGCCTGTGCGTGCGTGGGGTGTGTGTGTGGTTGGGGGTGGGGTGGGGGTGGGGGGAGAGAGAAGGAGGAGAGGGGCGCGACGCGAACGCGGTGAGCGTGTCCGGTGAGCGCATCACGACTTGCGGTGAGCGCATCACGATTTGCGGTGAGCGCATGATTGCTCTCACGCACCCGGCGGCCGCCGCCTCGAACGTGGGCGCCATCTCTGCGCCCCCGAGCGCCGCGCCGAGAAAGGCGAACGGCCCGAGCAAACCACGCAAGCCTTTGTCAGCAATGATTAAGTACTCATCATTGGTCATCATGAGAAAGGCGAACGGCCGGAACGACCACGCACGCCTCCGCCGCTGCGTCCGCCGCCCGCTGCGGCGCCGACGGCGGCGGTGGCGCCGAGCGTGTTGGCCGTCGGCGTGAAGTTTGGGTATCGGAATGCGGCGGCGGCGGCGGCGGGCTGCCCGTCGATGGAGAGGAGCGCTTCGTCGCGCGAGAGGAGGGAGCCTGCGCGAGAGGGAGGGAGCCTGTGCGAGAGGAGGGAGCCTGAGGAGCCCGTGCCGGGCTTCCCTCTTCTTGAGGCGGCATCTCGGCGGCATCTCGTCCCGATCTCGGCGAGATCCCCGCCTCTGCGGAGGGAGAGGAGCACAAAGTGCCAGCTGCCCGGCCGCAGCAGCACCTCGGGGCTGAAGGGGGCGGCGGAGATGACCAGCGGCTGGTCGGCCGCGGGGTGGCGCATCCCAAAGGCGGCGCCTGCAGGCAGGGCTCCGTGAAGGCTCGGGGAAGGCGGCGGGCGGCGGGAATGGCGCATGTGCAAGGTGGCGCCGACGCGGCTGCCGCCGAGAGCGCCGCCGAGGAGGCGCGTCGCTGAGAGCCGCTCGGTGGGCTCTCTCCTGTGTGGGTGAGCTGGAGAGGGGTGGGGGGCGGGCTGGCGGGCGGGTGAGTGGGTGAGGTCGGCGATCTCTCCTCGAGTCGGAGACGAGGAGCTCCGCCTGAGGCGTGGGCCAACAATCATCAGCGGATCGCGGCGGCGGCGAGGAGAGGCGGAGCGGCGGAGGCGCGGGAGGAGCGGGAGAGGAGAGGGAGGAGCAGCTGTGTCTCGGCTGCATCGCTCGCCCTCAGTCGGAGTCCGGAGTCGCTCGAGTCCCTCCGCAGCGGCTCGGAGCCGTGGGGTGGGTGGAGCTGGAGCTGGAGGCCGCAGCCGTGCACGTCGTACAGGGAGAGGAGCGTGGTCGGCGCGGTGGCGGCGCTGCAGGTCGGGTCGAGCTGGACCTGAGGGGAGGGAGAAGAGGGGAGGGGAGGAGGGGGAGGGGAGGAGTGAGGGGCAAGCGGCGCGGTGGCGCCCTGGCGCTGGCTGCTCGCCACGCACCCAGCAGGCGGCCGTGAGCGAGCCTTGCGCCGCGAGGCCGACAAGGCCACTCGCGGGCAAGTCGAAGCCTGCAGGAAGGGTCCGAGAAGATTCCGAGAAGGCTCTGGTCGGCCGCCGCTCTCGCGGGCAGGTCAAGGCCTGTCGCCCCGAGCGCGCCCGGTCCCATGTCCCAAAAGGCGGCGGGCGTCCCCTCCGGCAAGCTCGAGGCGACCACGTCACGCAGCAGCCGCAGCAGCTCCAGGCAGCGCGTCGCCGCCGCGTGCGACGACTGCGGCGCAGTGCTTGCCGCCACGGCTCGCTGAGTCGGAGATCCGTCCGCCTCGGCACGCAGCAGCGCCGCGCCCGCGGCCTCGAGGGCCTGCAGCTGCTGAAGCGTCGCGCGAGAGTCGTGCACGGTCAGCCGCTGCATGCCAGCGAGCCTGAGCAGCTGCAGGAGCTCGATGCGGACGGCCTCGGAGAAGCGGGCAAGCATTGGCAGCACTGCACCCACCAGCCCGCGGCTCGCGAGCGCGTGACGGTTGTGCGGCGACTCGCGGAGCAGCGCGCACAGGCGGCAGAGGAGCGAGAGGGCGCGGGACTCCTCCAGGCTGTCGAGCGTGAGCACCATTCGCATGACGCCCTCCGCATTCGAGATCCGAAAGTTGCTCAGAAACGGAGAGAGGTCGTCGGATGATGCGGACGCCATCTCTTACCGCTTGTGCGTCGTGACTGCTTGGGCGCACCTACCCCACGCAAACGCACTCGGAGCCTGAGTGTCCGTCGAGAGTGGGTCGGGCGCCGCTTCAGCAAAGCGAGAAGAAAACTGCTTACTCGAGTACCGACTGCACTCCAAGTGCTCCAAGTGCTGCGCGGAAACACTAGGGAAGGGACTGGCGCGCACACTGGCATACACCATTCGAAAGAGTTGGTTTTTAATTTTCGTTGTCGTCCTCGCCGCTCGCGCGGTCTGTGGAGAAAGAAAAGGGCCAGGAGTGCGTGAGTGTTCTCTGGGCCCCTATAAAGGCCCTGCCTGCGCGGCGTGAGAGCTCGGAAGCGAGGTAGCGAGCTTTGCAAGGCGATCGAGGACGGCGCGGTTCACCCCCCCCCCCCCCCCTCACCGAAGCGATGGATGGAGATGCGTTCCGCGTGGTGTGACACAAACGAGAGGAAGAGACTTTGCGACTTGAGCGTGTCTCAACTCTCAAGTTTCCTTCTCGCGCGCCTCGTTGGTTCGGTCTCCAATCCAGTCGTGCGGCCTGCCTATAGAGAGGAACACATGGCAAGCACAAAAACAACACATGGGCGTCAGCAGGCCGGCGTCGCCATCCTCTTCAGCGGCCACCTGCGCCAGAGGTGCGTCTTGGCTCCCGTGCTCCATCACGTGGAGGTTTGCCATCGCTCCTTCCTGCGCTGCGACGTGTTTGTCCACACCTGGGCTGAACTGGAGCCTCGGACCCCACACTGGCGTCGAGGCTGGCCGAGGAGGAATGTGACGGGCCCAGAGTTTGATAGCAGAGCCTGCGTTGCGAGGCTCAAGCAGGCTGTCTTGGGTCGCGGCGCGAGCCTCTCGATGCTCGTAGAGCAGCAGCCAGAGGTGCCGCTCGATTCAGCGCTGGCGCCCGACGGCTTGCCATTCAACGCGTCCGGCATGCTTCACTGGGGTGCCGCGAGGCACTTTGGTTGGAGGATGAATGTGAGGGGCATGGCGCAGGCGGCGCGGTTGCGTCGATCGTCACGTAAGACTCACGTGCTGTCGCTTCGGGTGCGCCCAGACGACATCTGGCGCTTCGGGACGCGCGACCAGGTCGCCAGCTTATGGGGCTGCATGAGACGGGTTGCTAAGGCGCTGCTGGCGGGCACTCGTGTGCGTGAGAGAGTTGGCGTGCGGTGGCAGGGCGGGCGCGAGGTGGGTGTGCGGTCGAGCTGGTCGATCCTCGCCATCGGGCTGCACTCGTGCTCGCACATCAACGCGGGGCTCACCGTCGTGGGCAACGACAATTGCTTCTTCGGCACGCCGCGCGTGCTCGAGCGCATCTACTCGCGGTTTGTGCCCTCGCGGTATCGGGACGTGTACCTTGGGATGAGCAAGGCGCGGCTCCCTCACGATCGACCGGAGCTCCAGCTCACGGTCGCTGCGGGACTGGAGCGCGTGCCTCTTGGCCTGCCGTGCACGTCGAGCGCGTACAAATGAGAGACCCCCCCCCCTCCCCTTTCTCCCACTAAAAGTACGTACAACTGAAGGCTGCAGATGGGATAGGTGCGAGATGAAGACTTGGGCATCTTGACGGGACCCAAAGAAAGGGCCTAAGCGCCGGCACACACAGGCAGCGATTCATGCCATCCTGTCCGGTCAGTGCTTTTTTTCTCGCCTTCTTTTTCTAACGGAGTCGCTTAGGCGGCTCCGGTGGTGTGCCGGTGATAGTACTAGCACGCGCCAGTTCGCACCTGTCTCGAGCCTGTGTGCTGTGAGAGAGCGTGGGTCAATTCTTTTTCTCAAGTCCACGATATGGGATAGGTAGCGATGGAAGACTTGGCCATCTTGACGGGACCCAAAGAAAGGGCCTAAGCGCCGGCACACACAGGCAGCGACTTCATGCCGCCTCCTTTCCTTCAGTGACTGGCGCAGGCCGCCATGAATAAATAAATAGAGCAGGCATCTCCAGCCTCCAGGAGAGATGGGCGACGCATGAACAAGGCACAGCGCGCACCCCGCCCCGCTCGCAGGGCGTGCATCACACAGGTGGAGTTTCTAAAGAAAGAAAGAAAGACAACAGACAACCCAGGGGAGGGATGAGAGGACGGCACGCCGCCACCACACAGGGATTTTAAGGAGAGGTGTGTGATGCGCTAGCCGTCGCCCACCCTAGGGAGTCTGCCTCTTCCTATCTCTCTTCGCAGTCTCTCGCCGCTTCTCGCTGCAACCTTCATGCCACCTCGCGGTCAGAATATCGCGAGCGAAAATTCTTTTTCTGGCGCCGCCAGCGATATGATCGTCGGCGCCAACAACCTCCTCCTCCTCGCCGCGAGGACAGCCTCGCCGTGGATGGCTGCGCCGCCGGCCACACCGTTTGCGCCCAACCCGCCGCGGGACGGCGGAACCATCTCCGAGCCGGCGGCCAACTGGGCCATCTCGCGCCTGCTGCGCGCCGGCGTTGAGATGGACACGCCCGCGCTCAGGGCGTCGGTTCCCACCACATTTCTGCGCCCATCGCCGTCGGAGGAGCGGCCGATCGCGCTCTTCTTGCACGGCGCAGACTTCTCCTGTCTCGAGTGGCGGTTCTTGCTGCAGCAGCTGTGCGAGGAGGGCGTCGACTGCGTGGCGGTCGACTGGTACTCGGGCGGGTGGACGGAGCGCGGCCAGATCACGGCCGCGCTGCGCGCGAGCGACGCGCAGCCGTGGACGCTCGTGCGGCAGCACCTGCTCGCCTTTTGGGAGCAGCAGCTGCGAGGCCGGCCGGTGGTCCTCATCGGCGCCTCGCTCGGCGGCGCGGTGGCGATCGACTTTGCGTCGACGCACCCCGAGGCGGTGGAGAAGCTGGTGCTCATCGACGCGGGCGGCGAGTCGTACAAGGCTCCGCCGCCCGACACGGTCGCCGCCTTTGCCAAGCCCGTGCTCGCCGTCAAGGGCCTCTTCCAGGCCGTGCAGGCGAGGCTGCCCGACGACGCGAGCCGCATCGTGTCGCTGCACCGCGCCGAGCCGGGCTGCTACGAGGCGAGCCTCGCCTACCTCGAGAGCGGCTCGATGGCGAGGCGAGTCGGCCGCGAGCGCATCCAGCAGGTGGCGCAGCCGACGCTGGTCGTGTGGGGGACCGAGGACGACATCCTCCCGCTCTCCGACGCCTACGCCTTCGAGAGGGACCTGCAGCACTGCGTGGGCGTGCGCGAGGTGCCCGGGAGCGGCCACTCGCCCCATCTCGACCAGCCCGAAGCCGTGCTCGCGCACTTGCGCCCCTTTGTCGCGCAGCGGTGAGCGGTGACCCCTCACCCCGGGCGCGGCCGCAGGCGCCATCCGCCAACACGTGTTTCAGTATTTTTTCTTTTCGTTTTTGCGCTCCACCTCCAGCGGCCAGGCCGCCCAGACCGCCCACGTGCCACGAGCCCCTCGTGGGAGCGCCGGCGAGCCGGACACGGGGCGCCGGCCGCCGCGCCCGGGGGCGCCCGCGCCATGCGCGAAGGCCGAACGAGGCTCGGCTAGATGTGCCAAAATACAAGCTGCTTCGGCAGCCGATGAGTCTTCTCGGCACGCAGGTCAAGTTCCCCGGGTCGTTCTGGGAAGGGCGAAAGTTCACCACGGAGCGTCAGGGGCGGGGAACCCGCAATTTGAGATGCTGAGGGCATTTTGAGTTGCAAAAAATCAATTTAGATTGCATTTTTCAATTCAGAATGCCGAGTTGACTTTTCGCATTTCAAGATGCACACCGCATTCCAAAGATGGTCCACGCATTCCAGGATGCGTCGACCATCCTGGAATGCGAACTGCATTCGTGAATGCGCTAGCATCTGGAGTTACCCCTTTGCATTCTAGGATGCTCCTTGCTATTTCAAGTTGCCTTCCTTAACCTGAGATGCCCAGCATTTTGGCCAATGCCGCATGTCGGCGGGGCATCGGGTAGGCTGCGGCTCGGCCTGCGCCTCGGCAGTCGTTGCCGCTGCGCAGCTGGATATGGTGGCGCACGTGGCGTGGCCTGTCGTTTGCATGTTTTGCGGTGGCAGCCCATAACCGCACGAAATGTGCATGGCCCTCAGCAATCCGTGTTCGATCGGCAACGCCCGTGCCGCTGCTCTGTGTCTCGTTAGAATAGGCAATGAAAAACGGCGCCCGCTCTCGTCGCATGTGCGCCGGTTGACATATCATGTATGTGGCTCTTTTATGGATAACAAGGAGTCTCGTTTTCAACTTTTTCTTCTTGTATATGAGCCCGCAGCCCGCGGCTTCCTCGCGCGTTTCGCGCTCCTTAACGGTCTCTCTCTCGCCAGCCCTCAACTGTTCAGTAGAATTTGCTGCAACTGGGCAGATTCATGTGGTATCATGCTGTCCTCATCAGGTGTCTGTGCCGCAGCGTAGGCGAGACTCTAATCTCTATGCCTCGGCACCCCCATCGAGGCAGCTCGCGAGGTGAAGCTTGCCAGCAAGGGTATTGTTGCCTACACTAGGCAAGGGAGCACTATGGTGTGAGCCTGCCAGCACTGGTGCGCAAGCCAGATCAGTACAGTCGTACCGGGCAGCAATGAAGCGCGTTGGGTGCCCGCGCCGGATGCAGTGCTAACGCGGCAAGCTTGGGCCGCATCAGCAGATGCGTGAGGCGGTGCGGAAACCGTTGTTTCAAGGCCACCTGGTAGGCTCACTCCTTCCCATCCCAGAGGTAGAGGGCAAGGAAGGTAGTCGATACCCTCGCCACAGATGGACATTTTCATTCAGTGTTATGTGCTACTTTCAGATACGTACGTAGGAGGACTCTGCTGACGGGGTATTTTAAAGCCCAAGAAAGAAAGAAGCAGGATTGTAACGCCCTCCGCCCACGCACATTGTTTTCCGCACTTTCCGCATATTCCGCAACGGGAATAGTAAACGGCAATTTGGGCAATTGTCGGAGTCTCCCATTCTGTAGCGTCAAAGCGCAGCTGCCTCGTGGCTCGTGGCGCATGGTGCATCCTGCCCGCTCCCCCGCAGCTACGCTGCTGGTGATTGATGTCGCACGCGCATGCCCACCCTCACGGCACCCACGCCATACCCGCGCGCTGACAACACATACCTGACATGCGCACTGCACCGACATCCAGCCAGGCTCCCGCGTCGACGTTGACGCTAACGAAGAGAGGCGCGTTGAGCCGGCGCAAGGAGCACGTCTCACTCACACCACCACTGACGGCCTCCCACTTCTCGGCCGCAGCTTTTCACAACGTGGTACCTTCGGCTCCTCGTCGCTAGCATCATCTCAGCGAGTACACCCTGCCTCTCGCCGTTTGCCCTGGCGAACGTGGCCGTGCTGATTGTCTACCGCCGCGTGGCTGTGCGAGATCTAGACGTGCACACCCCGCACGCCACTCGGCTGTGCTTGCGCAGCAGACGGCGTGGGCGGCTGCGCAGGCCCCTGGCCGCGGAGGAGGAGGCTGGCCCGTCTGGCGGTGTGCTGGCGGTTGGAAGTAAGAGGGAGAGGGAGAGGGAGAGGGAGAGGGAGAGGGAGAGAGAGAGAGAGAGAGAGAGAGAGAGAGAGAGAGAGAGAGAGAGAGAGAGAGAGAGAGAGAGAGGGAGAGAGGGAAAATT